CAAAATAAATGTATATATATATATATATAGGGTAAAGTGCAAATAACACCCCTCATCTTTACTCTCTCTTCCAAAAAACCCCCCTAAACTAAGAATTGCCCCCTAAACTATTAAGAAAATACACTTTAAGGACAAAATAAAAAATTATTATTATCTAAGGTCACCGGAGATATTAAATTACTAACTTACCTTCTGTAGAACTACACCGTTTTATTGCTTTAGTAACTGATGTTGATCACGTGTCAAAATAAAATCTCAAAACCCAATGGCAATGTGACAACACACAGCCTTATCACAATCACCTTCTAACCACTTCTTATTTTAGCGCCAAACAGCCCCTTATGTACAGAACTCGCTCTCTGCTTTTGTTCTCTGGCAGGCGATCGTGGCCTCCTTTTATTATGGCTGAATCATTGATGGAGTGATAATTTTTGAGGATAATTTTTGGAGAATTCAATTTGGCACAAGATTAAAGTTTCTGAAGGTAACCGCGATTCGTTTTTTTTTTTTTTTTTAAATGGTATTGATCACAAGGAATGCTCTCTTTGTGGCAATCCACGCTCGTCGTCAACCTTTCGAAAAAAAAACCATGGATGGACAGAGGTCGGCGACAGTGGCGGAGTGGAGGGCAGCATCGAAGGTCGGCGACTGTAGCAGAGCGGAGGGCAGCATCACAGGAGAAGAGGCGTCGAGGACGAGGTCGTAGAGGAGGGTGGAGAGAAAGCACCGGTGGCGACGACGATGGGTATCGAAGTTCGCCTGTGAGCATCAAAGCTTCCAACATTCTGCTCGAAGAAATGCTTAATTGCAAGCTCTAATTTTGGGTTTGCTAAGATGGGATTTTCTTCCACTGTTTTGCCACAGTTGTCAGCGATGAAGCAATTGATGTTGGTTCCTCTGCGATACGTCGACCCAATTCAACCCCTATTTCACAATATCAAAATTTTACATCCTAATTCACCCAAATCAAGTCCCAACCTACTTGACTTTCTTCATCACTCCACACGTTTTACCAGAAGAAACCCTAATACAGTAATACACTCTTAACAGAATACCAAACCCTACTTGACTTTGCTATTCTATTTTATGTTCAGATTTTGCTCTTGTTAGGCTAAAATTTTAGGTTTTTTTTTTCTTTCCCTTTTAGTGACTAATGATTCGGCCATTCTCATCTTCTAAAAAATGAGTTAAATAAGGTTTGAAAGAAGTAGGAAAAATTGAGCTAATGATTTGAGGGTTTTCAACTTTATGCCCAATATAACATATATGATATCTATATATATACATAAACATACATGGCGATGGCGATCAACAATTTGAGGCTTAGGCCTTGCTCATATTTGTAATGAAAACTCTTATCCTTGTCGTTATCTCTATATTGCCTGTATTTCCTGATTGTTGCCAGGAAAAAAAAGGTCGTTTATTCATTTATTATCCGTTTAGTAAAAAAAGGGTAATACTGTCATTTTGAAAATATAGCTTAGGTCATGTGATAATGGGATGACGGAACAGTGTCGGGGTCTTTTTTAGCTAACAAAGAGATAGTTTAGGGGGTTTATTGTACAAATAGAAGTTCAAAGGGGTTTTTTGGGAGAGAGTAAAATTCAGGGTTTTTTTTTGCATTTTACCCACATATATATTCTAATCTTTTTGATGGCATTACCAGACATCCTATTCAAGTTAATACATATTCTCAATGCATCGGATCAAAGATATAGAAGCTTGATCTATTCAGTAGTGTTATATATATGAATACCGGATGGATCAAGTTTCTCTGTCTTTGATTTCTTATATATTTATATATATAATATTAATATACTTAACTAAAAAAGGTGCCTGAGGTCATGCTATAAAAAATATTAAAATTCCAATATATATGTATATTGTCATCGTGCATTAGAGAGGAATCTAATGTCACGGGATAAAAATGAAGTATAATATTATATAATGTATATAGGGATTTTAAATTTCTAACCTAGGCACCCTATTTTAGTTGAGTTGGATTCTAATCTTCTTTATTATTACTTAACTAGAATCCCTTGTATATATTATACTCAACTAGAATCTCTATATACAGTATATAATTTCATTCTCTAATTAGATTTTTTTTAATGGAATTTTCGTATTTCTTAATACTATATTATTATTATTAATATTTTCCTACTATTATATTATTAAATAAATTAATGTTCTAAAATTTAATTATTGATATATTTTGATATAAAATTATTGTTATGTATTTATTGAAACAAATTATATGTTTCATTCTCTAGTTAGATTTATTTTTATTAAATTAAATAAATAATTTTTTAGTATTACCTATTTCATTTTCTAATTAGGTTTTCATTTATTGAATTAAATAAATAAGTTTTTTAGTAATATATATTTCCTCTAGTCTCTAATTAAATTTCCATTTATTGAATTTCAGAATTTCCTACTACTATATTATTATTATTAGTATTAGATTTTTATTTTATTAAATTAAATAAATTATTTTAGTATTATACATATCTTTCTGTAATTAGATTTTCTTTTATATCCTACCATTATGTTATTAGTACTTCCTATTATTGTATTACTACGCATTAAATAAATTAATGTACTGAGATATTGTACTTTTAATAATATATAGTATAGATATAGATATAGGTATATATATTTATTTATAATATTATTTGGTCAGTTAGTTAAATTCAGACATTGGTGTGCACTATTCAAGTTAGTTGGTCTCACGTACTCATTAAAACTGCTCTCAACACCAATTTGATTAGTGCATTTTAATTTGGTTGTACATACCAATAAATTGTTATATCCCGCATCCTATTCCTACTACACAGTGAAAGCCCCCTGAATATAAAGTGTAAATATGGAATTATTATTATTATTATTTTAATACTCCTATAAAATCAAATGATAGCACAATTGAAAAAGAAAATGAAGAGAAACTTAAAAATGAGAAGCAACAAGTCTAAAGATGTTACATAGACAAAATTTTAATTGAATACATTTTCACTTGAGAGTAATGCCGGCAAGAGAGTTGCTTCCTAATAACAGTTGTGAGTTTTTCGCATTTAATTATTCATATCTTAATAGCATTACTCCATGTGATTATTGAAGGAGATTATTTGCCAGTTATGAACCTCCATGTCTTGAGTCAAGCCTCAATGGTGGTTTTTCATGATGTTTATTCTCTTCTGAATGCTTGTATAGGTTCTTTTTTACTATGGGTGCCTCGGGGAGGTAATGTTGTAGCTCATTTATTGAGCAAGAAGGCTTTAAATGTCGATTGTGATGATTTGGAGTGATATATCTGGCTCAAGTGGCTTCTAGATGCTATCCTCTTTTATTGTAATTCTTGTTTTTCTTAATGTTAAGGTTTGGTTTGCTGCCAAAAAAAATAAATAATAATAATAGCATTACTCATCTACATACCACCTAGATTAATTTCACAAAAATAATAATATATTTAATTTTTACGAAACTGAAAGAAATAATTTTTTTTTAACTCATTTACTGCATCAATGAGTTAAAAAATGGTGAAATGATATAAAGTAACCACGGTTAGGGTCCTAGGGCAGGAGGGGTATGGGGGCTATAAATAGAAAGCTATAGTCCCTCTTTTCTTCAGCCCCAACCTAGTTATCCTATGAATAGCCCTACCTGAAGTCCTCTCTTTCTGCCTAAAAAATCTTCTAGTTTCAAAGCAGTCCTATATCCAACCTCTAGTAGCATATAGCTCAAACATTCCAAGCTCACTCTGTAAGTCTCTTCCATTATAAAATTTATGTCTTTTCGAACAAACAGTCTATTTGATTTTTCTATTTTTGTTTTCTTTTTTGAACATATTTTGTTTTAGATCTCAAAATTTTCAACAGTATCATGATCTATTACCAATCACCCTTCGATGTTTTTCATTGATTTTTTTGGTTTTTGAAAATGGATTGTGGTTGAAATGATTTGGATTATTTCATCTGTTTGTCTTTCCTTTTATAGTGCTTTTTGTTTTTTTGATCTGACCAAGCTTGTCACTTTCTCTTGCTGATTTACGCTTACATCTCCACATGCGAGAAGTTCTCTCTCTCTCCCTCTCTCTCTCTTTGTTTTGGTAATTTAAAGAAAGAGGTCAAGGCATTTGAGATATTCTTTACCTGGATTTTTCTCTTTATGCCAGATATATGTAAAAGTTCGTTTTGTCAAATATTATTCAGGTCTTTTGTGATTGGTTCTGTTTGTAGATTTTTTTCCCTCTTTAGTGCTAAGCTTTGAATCTGTTATAATAGAATTGTTCAAGCTAATATCAAATTCTTATATGTGCATGTATTATATATATAAACATGTGTCTATAGTTGCGTTTATACTTTCATTAGGTACTGATAAGGTCCCGATCACCCTTTGCTGAGAGGGCACAAAAACTCACTCTCCCCATCTTCACGAAAAGGCCAATAGGCTAATTTAATGACATCCTTATTCTATGTGGAAAGTGGGGGAGAAAATATGTCTCTAGTTCATATCTGGTTTTTGTAGTATTAGTGCTTTTTTTATTTTTTTTATTTTATGCAGATAGCTTCATTTTATTGAATTAAATGATGGATTTTGCTACTTGTAGTTGCCTAATTTGAAAAATCATCTTACATGGCAATTATGTTGATTTATTACTTTTATTTTGTTTGTAATTTTATTTATCCATACCAACCCCCTCTGAAATTTTTTTCATCATTCAGAAACTAGCTGTTTCTGGGAGGAAATAATAGGAACCTAATTTTTTTTTTTTTTTTTTTTTTTTCATGCAATTTCTATTTGTTTTGTTTAGTAAAACACACATTCACACCCGTTTCGTTGTTGTCCAAATCGGGACTCAAATCCCCAATCTCCCATTTGAAAATAGGAGTTACCAAGCAAATCCTTAAGATTCATTATTGTAGCTTTTCTCATTGCACTTCTCTCTTTAATCTTTGTCTCGCTTGGGCTGCAGTGTTAACATCTTTCTTTTGTCAAATTAGGCTTCAAATTATAATGGGTCTCGCAAATATGTCACCAACTGAGGAGGGGAAGGTTATCGTAATTGTGGCAAGTGCTCTGCTATCTATCTGGGATGTCAAAGATATGTTCGTCTCCATGCTTCGCTTTGTGGGCATTCATATTGCATCAGCATTTCGGTTTGTTCATTTAAGAAGGCCTGAACAAGAGGAGTGCTCGATTTGCCAAACAGAGTTCAAACCCGTGGCGCAGATAAACATTCTCCCTTGCGGCCATGTTTTCCACAAATTGTGCTTGGAGAAATGGCGGAGGAATTGTCGAGTCACATGCCCTAATTGCTACATGACGCCCACAGAGGAAGAGAGTCGTTTACTGGCAATACTCCGTGCAGTTTACAGGAAATGCTCCTTGAAGAAGTTGCGTTCTACAGCTTAGCTTACTAGTTTACACACAGTTGTTAACACGCATCATTTGGGCTATGTAACCAAATGTTATCTATCATGTACATATTTTTGTAAGATAGGTTTTCTGAAGTTCTATGCTTCTTGAACTTAGGGAGTAGCTTTGCTTTTGTTTTTGGAGTTGTGGTTTGGTTTGTTGTTTGGTTGGTTTTTGTTTTTGGAGTTGTGGTTGAATAGTTGTTTGGTTGGGTGGCCTTGCCCCTTTGTCTGATTGTATAATATTTTCCATTATCAATATAATTATCGTACTTAGCAAAAAAACAGTTGTTTATGAAAAGGGTCATCTCCTTTTTCTTCTTCTTCTTATATATATATATATATATATATATATTTCATATCAATGTCAAACAAATTTTCTGCAAGTATGAAATGCTTTTTACAGGATATTATTCATTTAAGAGAGAAGTGACAGAGGATGCGCTTTTCTATAAGAAAAACTTTATGTTTTTTTTTTAACCGTAATACGTGCGTGAATGCTTTATTTAATCTTCCGTCACTATCTTAAGCTCAACGACTAAGATTTGCATAACAAAACATTCTCCTATTAGCTGACCAATGACTAATCAAAATATATGTGCATTTGATGTTTGTTAATGCTATTCAATTAGTCAATAGCACAAATGTGAACACTTTTGGTTCCGTTTGTTTGGACGTAAAATATTTTTTTATTTTCTGATGTTTGGTTGTCGTAAAATATTTATGAAGAAAAAAAATATTAAAATTTGATAAGAATAATTTATTCATAAATTTTCGACAAATTATTTTACATGCTCCACCCGATGGACTTGACCTAAATCTTGATATAGACCTTTGCTAAATATCAACAAAGTAAAAATAAAAGAATATTTTATTTGAAAAAAAAAAAAAATTCAAAAAGAATATTTTACGTCAAAACAAACGGAGCCAAAACATTTTCCTACTCTTGACCAAATATCACATGTCGTGTCACACCTCAAAATTCGAATACAAATACATTTGATAACAATACTCAATATGGGTGTGAATTAAAAATCATTCCACAATACATTACTCAAATCAACATGAAATTACATAAAATCCTCAAAATAAAAATCTTTCTGCAACTAAGAAAAATAAAAACTCTAAATTGCTCTAGTTCTTAACGCCAACTCTACAACCACCAAGTAGCTGAAATGTTAAAATGGGATGAGCTCACAAGCTCAGCAAGATTACTGCTCAACAAGTAATAATCTTACCTCACCTCGTTAAATAAAGGTACACTAGATAATATATCTACTTGATTAACTAAAATAACCGAATCTAAATAAATAAGTCTCACTTTCACTGCTCATTTAAAGGGATCAAATTCCAACTCCGATAAAAGAACATATTAAACCTCATATGTAAAAATCACATGCAATCATATACACAGGTAGGTAACGAATCCAACCTCTCATATAAGCTAAGGAGCAAATCCAACATTTTCAACACACTATGTGGGGAATTCAACCAATAATACATGTGATAATCCATAATAGGTAGGAACACATCATATCCTTGTATGGAACAATCACCCAATGAGACAATTACTTATCATGTGAGACAAGCTCATTTTCAATCTGTGAAACAACTATATCCCGTTACACACGCACTAATTCCATACGCATGGTATGATCACTCTCCTGGAATTCATTTACATATACACGTCTATCCAAAACAATTACAATCTAATTCGTAGAATTTTATAAGATTCTAACAATATGGGTTACATAGTCCTCCAACAACTACTTCCTTACAAAGAAACTGATACTCCAAATAGTGAGAAAATGTAAAAACTCCAAATAAAAATAATAACTTGAATGAAACTCCAATAAATAATGAATCTAGACATATATCAACATAAAGAGTTGAATAATCCACCAACAATTAAAGAAATGATAGTTTAGACAGGATAAAGTAAGATTAAACTTGCTTGTTCGATTACAACTCAACCACCATTTTCAATTTTGCAGTACAAATTCTATCCAAATCCATAACTATCGATTAACAACCTTTTATATAAATAACCATATCATAATTCTCCTCGATTGAAAACATTCAAGTTATAATCTCTCTGCAACTTATCATTTGCAAAAACCATGAATCGTTTCTCATAAAACCCTCTCATTCTAGACTAAATCTTGCTTGATAATCTTTTGGTTAGAAGAAATAGGTAACGTACCTTAATATTAAGCTCATAACGTGTCACTATCGTCAATATCTTAATCCACTCTCAAAAGTTCACTTTCGAAATCGGTATAATAATTGAATCTCAAACACGTCAAACACAACACAAACACACTCTAATAATAACTCAAAAACTACCACGTTTATAATATTTCTATACTGACCTAACAACATGATAAATTTAAAGTTCCATTATCCTAATCATATGATGGACATTTTTAATCACTAAACCACACACACATATATATGACTATAGGTACAAAAATTCAGGATGTTACATGTCAAATGCATTAACATTATCTACCAAATTCCTACCTTCATACATATTTAAGTACACGTTGAAAGTGCAAGAGACTTTACTAATTGAGTGAAGAAATATTTGCATGTTGAAAGTACCGAAGACCTTAACTTTTGAGTGATTGAGTTGCTTTGTGTGTGGCAATTTGGTAACATAAAGTAGTTAAAATATTTTGCATATAACTATTCTCTAAGTACCATTAAATTATAAGAACATGCCATACAAAGTACTAGTATTATTAATGATGTGTTATTGTCTTAATAAAATGAAAGCTTGAACAGCTAAAGCATATAATCTCCAAAATTATAACAAAATTAAAGAAGTAGAGAGATATCATGAAAAAATCCAAGACTACACCAAAATTAAATAAAAATAAATCCAAGACTACACCAAAATTAAATAAAAATGAAAACCGCAGCACCTATCTATACTAACCCATTTCTAAATAAAAATCATTCCTCAATAAATTAATACACCTTTACCAAAATCACATGATTTGGGAATTCCAAACCCTAACCAGTGAAATTGAACTAGATCCTTTAAAATTTTAAGAGCTTTATAGTTATATATACCCCTTGTAAATTGCCCTTCTTGTTTGAGGTGGGACTTGGTGTGTTTAATCCGACCAATCTGATTTCTGTTTAAAAAATTAAAGTGAGCAAAATACTTGAGACCATAAAACAGAACTGGTTTAAATTTTAAAATTTGAAATTATTTTGGGTAATGATTTTATTAACTAGAGAAACCTGAAATATAAAAATAGTTATAACTTTTATATTTTTAAGGTTATACATTATTTATATAAATTAAAATTAAAATTAGATTATTCATCCATAGTTATTCACTTAACTTTGACAAGTTTAAGGTTATACAGATTGGGCCCATTAAAAATGAATTAAAAAAAATATTTGAACAAGGAATTAATGAGTCAAATAACAGAATGCATAAATTCTGAAGACATTAAAACTTGTCTCCAAATGGAGGAGGCATGGTCATATATATTCACAATTTACTGGCCCAAATTTATAGGTTCATTGTACAAAGGCCGTCATCCATAAGACTTTCACGTGCCTTGTGTCAACAATAAATTGAAAGCTTGTGCAGGTAAGCAGATTACAGTGCCCAGTGTCAACAGTAAATTGGAAGATTATAGCAGACCATCACTTTTCTTCCCATGGAGCCACAGATTATATTTTGTTCACATGGCAACCACGGCTGTTTTTGTCACCATCATGAATCTTACTCAATTGATCGGAGAACCCGCATGTATGGGAGTTCTGCCAGTTAGAGAACCACATATTAAATTGTGTGCTCATATGTTAATTGCGGCTTTTTTTTTGTCACCAGGTAATGCGCCGCTGGTGCAACTACTTCTCCTCCTTGGTTAGATAAAAAAAAAAAAAAAAAAAACGAAAAAAAAAAGAAAAGAAAAGAAAAGGGAAGAAAAGAAAATTTTCGTGCACATTTTTAGAGCATTTATAACCATTATGTATATATATGTATGTATTTTTTTTTGTAAATATAATGTATCATCATAGATTTATACAAAAAATTTAAATTATTATTGCTTCAACGGTTGTTTTATATCTTTTGTATAAAAAAATATCCTCCAATAACAAACAAGCACATGTCATGTCAGTACTCCCACAAAACTTTTATAAACCTACTTAATATATGATTGGTTGTTTAATGGAATGAGAAAGAGGGAAGAAAAAGAAAATATGTTGATGAAACTGTGTAAAAAAGTTGTGTAAAATATAAAATAATTTTACACAGTGATGACGTGACAGTGTATCTTAACAAACTGCTAGAGATTAATTAAAAAAAAATACACATCCGTGAAAGTGTATATTTTACACAAAATGATATTTTAACAGAGTGCGCGAGATATGCTCTTAGAGTATTTCTAACGGTATGTTAAAAAATATTTTTATGTAAAATATATATTACCACATATAATATATAAATTTTTTTTATCTCGAGTCTGTTAAGATATATTATCACATAACTAATGTGTAAAAAAATAAAAAAAAATTATGTATTTTATATAGTCTTTTTATACAGACACGTAAGCATATTTTCGCTCAGCTCTCCCTTTCCAACTCAGGATTCTCTTTCTTCTCTCTCATTCCTTTGGGTCACTCGCCCTTTTTGTTTTCCACTTTAAACCAACATATATGGCGTCCTTGCTGAAATATTTTTTTACCTCACAATCCCACATGTAAAGCTTTTATTCAAATTTCATTTCCTAATTGTCTTCTTTGCTTCACTTATTGCTGAAAGACAAGGGGAGAAAAAGCATGAAAGGATCATTGGCTTTGCAAATCCAAGCTTTACATGTGGAATTGTATGATTAAAATTGATTAATTTCAATTTTGATTTGATTTGATTAATCTGAAATCTCTTCCAGATCAGCCATTGGTTCTGCGATGCCAACAACTCCAACTACAAAAACGACACCATGATTCGCAAAGAGGCCTTTGTCACCCCGCCCTCTGGTCATCTCTCTCTCACTTTATTCATACAGGGATTTATTCTAGGGTTTCTGTCCATTTGTGTTTCTTTTTGGTGTTTGATCGATATTTAGGGCCTTTGTTATGACATAAGATGGAGATTATTTTAAGGTTTCCGAAAGGAGGTTGGATAGAAGATGTAGAAGAGGAATGGATATTTGCTGGATTTTTATTTTCATTTTTTAATATTATTTAATTCTGAGATAATTAAGGGAGGTGTGACTAGTTCACCCTACTCCTTCAAAGAGGAATTTCATTTTTTAGATGGGCTCGGAATCATTGATCCGAATAATTGCAAACCATTGAACACATAAAATAAAAAATTCTGAAAAAGTTTTCATATTTCTAATAATAAGAAATTATTACATGATTTCGGTCCATCACCAGATCATATATAAACAAAAAAAAGAGATAAAACTTACACATATACTTCTATGTCATATGTCATCGTATGATTAACTTGAAACTATTCCATATAATACTTTTTCTCATTGGACAAGTAAATATGTAAGCGTATACAATTTTATTGAACTTACTCACCATTGTGTCGGAAATGTGTAAGTTTTTTTTGCTTTACTTACACCTTTAATTATAATCGATACGAACCAATAATCTTCATATCATCTAATAATTTCTCCAAATAAAAAAAGAGCGTGTGAAAAGAAAAAGTTTACAATATTTCGGGATACCGTACTCCCGAGATTCTTAACTATTGAATGTGATGGCGAGACTCGCCTGATGAATGATTTAAAGATTCTGAAATATAGTACCCCTGGAATATTATAGACTTTCTAATGCGGAATAAATTTTGCCCTATCTAAGAGGAAGAAAATGAAAGATGTTATGATGTGACATGCTAAAATGATATTTTTATTCAGGAAAAAAAAGTAATAATTATTTCATTAAGATTATTATTATTATTAATTTCCTGGAAATTCAAGTATTAATGGTATAGATATGTCATATTTGCATTTTACCGTGAAGATGGACTAGGCCCATCAAGCAGACTTGGAAGGCTAGCGCAAAAGGCCCTTACCCGAAACCAAAGATTACATTGCCCAATCACGAGGCCCAAACCAATTTAAAATTGAAAGATCGTTAAAGCAATAGGATTGCTTCTGTTAATCAAGCTCTGTTAACTATGAATAAGACAACAAAAGGTCAAGAATAGATATGCTTTTAATTATTATAATTGCAGATAATGTATTTTAATAGAAGAAGATCAAACAGAAATTTAGCGAAAGCCCCCAACTTTTTTAATACCCATTTATGTGCAAATGTAATTAACTTTCAGTGGACCAATTGCATCTTTGTTATATTTAAATGGACTAAAATTACACACAGCAATCTTTCATTCTGGTTCCCACTTTTCTTTCTATTTTCACTTCTATATTATGTGTTGTGAATGATTATCTCTTTTACTCTTCTTTCTATTGATTTCTCTTCTCTGTTATTTCAATTGAATTTGCTCTATGCTCCTTATATTAATATTTATTATTTATTTGGTTTGACACGTTAATTTTAGGAATTAAAATTATTTAGAATTTCCCCTTTTATCACTTCATACCAGGGAACAGAATGAATTGGCGATATCATGATTTGCAATCATTTGCATAGTGTTTCACTATATATGAGACTTTAATGATGAAACAAATTATTTGGATGTGAGGCTATGATTATCAGAAAAAGAGCTGTGGATTATGAACTTTAAATTTGTTCGAAAAACATTAAAACATCATGACATAGTTGTGTATTATCGCACACTGATTAATTGAACTTCTTTTGAATTATTCAGTTGTGCTTTCAAATGAATCGAGATATTCACAAACTATTTTGTTTTGTTTATTGTTATAGTCAAACAAATTATACGTGTTTAATTAATAACCATACCACTCTCAAACATATTTTTACTCATATGCTATTAACAAATTATATATCCTTAAAATGCACTATCAACTTAAACATAAAATATGGAGTCTAAGATTACATCAGCGAAAACGTAAGAACTTGTTTTGACCATTTATATGAATTCTTTATATCACTCATTTTATCACACAACCCTAGCTGCATTGTTCACTGTTTCTATTCCTTTCTCGATTGTAACGGTAGCTATGGTATTCAATCTCAACCCTAGCTACATGCCTCACTATCGTAAACTCTCAAATTTTCGATCGATTATAACAGCGATAGTTTGTTGGGACAGCGTACACGCTCTATCGTAAAAGCGGTGAATATAGCTCACACCGATAGGGATAGGGGTGAATATGGCGTCTAGGCGATGATATACAATTTTTAGTGGAGTAAGTCGATATTTTAAAATTCCCATCTATATAATTTTTTTCACCACTAATCTCATCTTCCTTTTTCTTTTCCGTCTCTACTCTTGAAAATAAAAATATAGGAAGGGTGCATATGACCGACATCACGATGATTCGTTCAGTATCTGTTTCTTTCTATGAAAATTTTGGAACAATAACGCGTATCGATAATTTTTCCAGGTATGTCTGCGAAAATTTTCATTTGTTTGATAAATTTGTGTATATATGCCGATAGTTTAAACATTTCACCTAATTTGCGTGTCTTATCCTACATTGGCAAAATTAGAGCGAACTTAATGGTTGTAAAAGTCTATTCACTCCCTCAATTCTAGCCATACCATTCCCTTACAAATCACATTTCCACTCTTTATATAGGTATATTAGAATGATATTCTTTTTAGAACTTTCTAATTATTTAGATAACTCTTTACTCTTTTACAATATTACAATTTCTTACTAGTTCTCCAATGTTTTAGAATCTGCATCCACTTTACAAAATTCCATAATTCTATACAAATGCAGAAAACATTAGAACCCATGTCTTCAAATCTGTCTTGCAGAGTGCACATCTAGCCCGTCTCTAAGGATATTGGCAGACACTAATCTATAAATTATTTCCCTCACTATTTTCAAACCACATATATTTGGTAGATGGATATGGAAAATTGTTGGATGGTAATTGCAAAGAAAATTGGCAAAAGAGTTGGGAATCCGCTAAAAATTTTGGAAGTGTGGGGAAGATGATTAGTGAAAACCATTGTTGAGCATTTGAATACTTTGGGAATGAAGACAACATAAGGAGGTGGATGAGTGTGACATTTCATTACCCGGATTTGAACTAGGGAAAAAGGATTTATGTTATGTAAATAGGGCAATAAAAGACTATTCACTAAACTGTTATGAGTTATGTAAATAGGGGCCGTAAAGGATTATCACACCCTCTGAAACATCCCACCCCAAAATAAAAGTTATTACAGAATGTAGCACTCGTTGTTGAGAAAGAATGAATGAGAGTGCAAGACAGAAAGTCTCATCCCTTTGAAACAAGTGTCATGAATCTTAAAAAGAATTGATGTTGTTGAGAGAAAGCTTATATAAGATGATGCATGGAGGAAACAACTCTTGAATTTACTAGTGTAGTTGAGCTCTTCTTGTTGGTATGACTGCTTGTGAGCATTTAGATATGTCCAATTTACACACTGTTTACAGTTTTTCAAAACGCGTCTAGATAGTTAGAAAAATCCATATTGCAAAACTCTGGTATTTATTACCCCATAATGGAATTTCGGTCTACACCGCCACCAAGATCAGAATTAGAGATTGATAGATTTGAATAGGAAACAAAAAAAACCTATTCTAGTTCTATCATTGGCTATGAGTTCGAATCTATGAGAAATTCTAGAGAATGTTTGATATCCTTTTCAAAAATAAAAAATAAAAATTTGGGTCAAATGAAAATGCCATTTTGAAGTTTTATGAACAATTTGCTTTTGTAGGCAGAGATTCGGTATTTAATTACCAAAAGAAATTCTTTCAACAAAGATGTGAATTAGGAAAGATTCATCGATGAAATATGAATCAGAGAAACATATATAAGTGTGAACAACTTCTTGAGTGTGATCAACCTTCCCCAAAAAGAAAAGAAAAAAAGAACTTATTGAGGCAATGTGTGATATCACGCAACAACTTGAAAATGTGCTCAAATTGGGCAACCAAGAACATATACTTTATTCAAACACCTTAGATCTATTTCTCAAATCATATCAAGGTTGTAGTTGATTGCATGAAATTTGAGATTTGCCATTTGACGTTAGTCCAATCCATCTCTCTGTGTCTAAAGATTCTTAATCTTTTCATGTATGTGGGTAAGTTAACTTTCTCTCTCTGTCTAAAGATCCTTAAATCTTTTCAAATATGTGGGTAAGTTAACTTTTAATGTCCCTGCATCCACGCACATTTCTATGAATTAAGTCCCTTCAATTTTATTTGATTTCATAAAGTGTTCTCTAAACAATAGAATTTAATTTTTATTGTTCAATCTTGTTATTAAAATTCAATTGCATAGATTAGCTCAAAATCTATCAAATACTACGGGCAAATAAGTCTTGTTTTCCACCCACATGATTGATGTGATAAAATGAAATTAAATAGAGCTACTTTCAAGTGCATGGATTAAGTGCTCAAAATCTTTAAAATCATGCTGGTGGAAAACAAGACTTATTGACCCTAAAGTTACTTTCAAGTGTATGGATTAAGTGCTCAAAATCTTTAAAATCATATGAAAATTGGTCTGATCCAGATTCAATTAGCCTTCTTTCAACCCACATGATTGATGTGATAGAATGAAGAACTATTAAAAAAATTATTGACACGTATAGTGAAAATTTTATTATATATAATTTTGTATTTAATAATTAGATTATTAATCAAATCTCTGTCACAATTATTATGCATGTTAACATTTGTAATTTTAACTTTCAAAACTCAAATCGAGGATTGGCACCTTTCCTACTGTAAAGGGGTCAACTTAGGAAGTTGAAGTAGTGAACTCAAAGATCTAATCTCATCTCCAAAATAAGAATGAACCACCAATGTTGCCTTGATCTTGAGATGAGAATGAACCACCAATGTTGCCTTGATCTTGAGATGTGATCAACATGAGCTTACAGAATGTTTGATCGCGCACATTATCACCTAATTAGGGACTACAATTAACTTATCGAATAGAACTATTTATGACAATGTAACTACCGTTAAAGGAACGAGCAACACCGAGATAATGTTACAATTACTGTGTAATCTCTTTTCATGCGTACATGTGTATAATGTTAATAGTGACCAATTAAGTGATAATTATACATGTGAACATTGTTAATAGTGACCGATTAAGTGATAATTTATTAATGGCTCCATGAATAAATACATGGACGCCGTATGTCACTAAGTGCTCTCCTCTCACGTGCCCCAATAAGCTTTCTTTTAGTGGTTTGTTTTGTTTTGTTTGGTTTCTTTATTTTATTATTTTTTATCCAGAAATGTTTAGTAAATTAAGAAAGGCTCACCCTTTTTTCAAAGTGATAGGCATGTATGTTTTCAGGAACATTTATGAAACTCACATCCAAGTTTCCCGTTTCCTATTGGACAATCAAGCTTGGGTCTAGGGTGCGTCCCTCAAGTCTGACTCTCTTGTGTAACTCGGCCGAGTGTCTTAATTATAGAATATTTGATCATGGACCTTATGTTATCGCTTAAGGCTTTTTTTGTTTTTTTTTTTTTTTTTTTGTAAAAGATACCAAAAAAAATATTTGAGCAAGGGATTATGAGGTAAAAGACAAAACACATGCCATGTAGGTTGGTTTTAAACTCAAAATATTTGAGAAGGGAGTATGAGGTAAATGACAAAACATATGGATTTTGATGACTTTAAAATTTGTCACAATGCAGAGACAAATGTTTTGGTTAGATGGATACTGTTTGGTTAAATAAAAATTAATTAATAGTGGGGAGTGAAAGTAAAAGAAAATGAAGTGCAAAGAAAATAAAATTTTCATCGTGGATTTGCTTAGCTTGAATTTTTTTAAAGATAATTTTCTTTTCTTTTCTTATTTATATATATATATATTCCTTATTTTTATTTAGGAGAACACTTGGTGACAAAAAAATGCCGTCATTAGCATATGAGCACACAATTTAATTTGGTTCAGTAAGAAAGAAGGGCACATGGTGACAAAACAGCCGTGGTTAACATGTGAACAAAATTTAATATGTGGCTCCATCGGAAGAAAATTGATGCTCTGCTATAATCTTCCAATTTACTGTTGACACTGGGCACTGCAATCTGCTACCTGCACAACCTTTCAATTTATTGTTGACACAAGGCACGTGAAAGTCTTATGGATGAACCTAAACCTGGGCCAGTTAATTGTGGACATATATGACCACGCCTCTTTGCATTGAGGCAGGTTTTAATGTCCTCAAAATCTAATGTGTTCGGTCATTTACCTCATTAATTGATTGTTCAAATAATTTTTTTGAGTCTAAAATCATATATACATGATATCCCTTGCTCAAATATTTCATGATCCTCAATGCAAGCCCACTTTGGCACATTGAAGCTTGATCTAGTCATATATATATCCATTAATAACATGTTCCATATATATTTCGAAATTGGAAGGTTGTAGCAGCACACAGTTCAAGCATATATGAACAGGAGGTTAGTTGAAACTCAAATTACAATAGCATAGAAATATAATTAATAAAAAATTCTATATATTTCATGTTTAACTTAAAAAGGTTACATTCTCAAATTAATATTTTTTTGGTAGTGTTGAATTCTAGATTTAATTACACTAAAAATTACACAGAATCCGTCTCCTTGTTTGCAATATGATTAGGGTACTAGAGGATTCAAAAAAAATATATATATATCTATAGAATTTAATGGCACAAGATTAAAAATTACTAGTTTTGGAAGCGTTGTTCAAAAAGACAATAATAATGTGTTTCTACCAATATTTATTTGTTCCATCTCTTTAAAATTCTTGATAGACAAATTAAATAAGTTATTCGATTAAGATAGTGTCCTTGTAATCTGTTATTGCAAGTTCTTTGAGTCAAGAGATCCATATGAGTGGAATATTTTAAACTTGAAAGTAAGCTATGTTCATAAGGTTTGTTGCGCGAAAAAGTAAAATATCAAATCAAATCAATCTCTCCGTTTGAGTACTCATATATAATTAGTACTTAATCAAAGGTCATTTTCGCTTGGAGTTGCTTCCTACATATAATATATGTATAGTACCATGTATATTTTTGGATGGATTAGATTTAAAAAACAATAGAATTGACAACTGTTCTTGATGATGGTCATCTTTCTGGCTTGTTAGGCAATTTGGACTAATTGATTCTCTTTGAAAGTGTTGGACTCTTCCTCACTAGCTACTTCCTGCTTAATTGCTAAAAATGAGAATAACCCAAAAAGTAACTAATGTAGCTTTCAACAAATATCCAACCTATAATGTTTATTATTTTGTAAACAAAAATATTTATTTATATGAGATTTTAAATAACCATATAAAACTTGTCTTTCTAACAGTAAGTGTTCCATATCTTAGGCTACTAATTTGTTGTTATTATTTTTATTTTTATTTTTAGGTAAATAAACTCATAAGCCTAGCAACAATTTGATACATATCTTAGGCTGTTAATTTGATTCCATTGAAGTATACTTTTATTAGTACTCTCTATCTCTCTCTGTACGGTTGTGTACATGTCTGTCTTTGTCAGTTTTTATTTATTTATTTGTTCTGAAAGACATGTATATATGTATATGTTGCCTATGGATGATATTCCTATTTAACAAATTAAGCAGCAGCATTTTCAAGAATAAAAAAGCATACTTATCTGTAATAAAACTGTGTTATGAGAGATGGAGGAGTCTAAAAGATAATAATTACAGGCGTGAAAAACTCAGAAAGATGGGGGCATGACCTCCATGTGATATATTGATGTCAATATGTCAGTGTATACATGTATATACAGACAAAGTGAGGAGGAGAGAAAAAAAATATGTTAACACTCCTCCGTTTGACATTTTGTATGGGGCAAGAGATCACGTGTGACTCTGATTGATTCTGAATTGCTGATTTCACTACCATTGTAGACGATTCTGAATTGTTGATTCCATTGTATATGCATATATTGGAAGTTTTTTATACATCAATACATATCAATATATATTGGTGGTATTGAAAATAGGAAAGAGAAAATGACAAGCAGAGCAAGACTTTGTGAGGATGAAACCAGCCTCGTCCGCAGTCAGGATCTCTTACTACATGCAAAATAGAAGTATATTTCAATGGTATACATTTTTTCTCTCTTCCATGTGATATATTGATGCATTTAAAACTTTTCGTATAAAGTAAAGTATACTCAATTTTAATTCTAACCTTAGATCTAATCCTATGACAATCAATTAATAAGTCATTTTTTCCTATTTTAAAAAATTTACCCATTTCTCAGTTATCTTTAACATTTGTACTAACTTATAATTTTTTTTTTTTAAAAAAATGAACTAATTGATTATTTCCGTGTAGCTTCCAATATATCCAACTAAGAATGTTTATTTATACGAGATTTTAAAGAACCATATAAAGCTTGTCTTTCTGAAAGTAATTAAGTGTTCTATAACTAATAATTTATTATTCTTATAACAATAATAATAATAATTTTTTATTAATAAATATTATTATAGGTAAATAAGTATATTGTTGAAGAAACAACTAGGCCTAGAAACAATTTGATTCACATCTTAGGCTGTTTATTTGATTCCATTGAGCTTTACTTATATTACCACTCTCAGTCCATGGTAGTGAACTTGTGTGTGTGTGTGTGTGTTTATATATATATATATATATATTTGAAAGGTATATATATTTGGAAATTACATATATGGGAGCATGACCCTCATGTGATCCATTGATGTATATGAAATTGTCAGTGTATGCATTAGGTACATAGTAAGAAGGAGAGAGAAGGTATATTAGAAATTTAGAAGAGTAGAGAAAAAATGCTAATGCCAAGTCTGACATTTCACAGATGAAATCAGCTTGTCATAGGGAAATTGTGGACGATGCTAATTTCATCTTCACAAATAGTATCAACTCAATTTGTCCTTTTCTCTTCAGTATTCATTACTACCGATTTATATATATATATATTTTAAGATGAAGATAAATATGAGAGCTTTTAATGGTGAGATTCTCTCTAACTAAAGATGAACCCATGGTGAGTAATTCGGATAAGAAAAGTAACTGAATTTCATTTAATTTGTAATATTATTTGATCATTTAGTTATAAATTTAGAGAATTCAAGTAAAAAAATAAAATTATGAGAGCTTGACACTACTAATCTTCACAATAACAGCTTAGTTAAGAACAAAAATTAAATTTAAAGAAAAGTGTAAATTATATGAATATGAATTTTTTTTTTTTTTTTGGAAAGTATATGAATATGAATTTGCTAAAAGAAAGAAAACGGTTAAATGCATTTTCATTGCATTTCCGTATTTTATCGTGAATTTTGTGAAGAAACTTTCTTAATGTCTTATTGTAAAAATTATTTTAGTACTAATACATGTCTATAATTGTTACACAGTTGTCACAGAAAGCAATAAAAGTGACTAATAATTTCATCTAAATCACTTTACTAAAGTGATCATGATTATTATATGTATAAAAGAAATAGTCAAATTTTTGGTGAATGAAATTTTATCTAGAGTAATCCTATTAGCAGTGATTCATCATTATAAGAATCAGGAATTCTTCACATTTAGTCACTTATTTGAGACATTTTTTATTTATTTAGTTATATATATTAATAAAAAATGAAAAGTTAAATGTGAAGAGTTCATAATTCTCTTATAACAGTATTTCTCTTATACTTGTCAGCTCAATTACATAAAATTTTGTTTTGAGTTAAAAATTTTGATCTCTAATTTAATTTAATAAAAAATTAAATATATATAGATTAATAAGAAAGTCTCAATTTATTAATGACTAAATTTGAGGAGTTCATAACTCATATCATGACTGCTCTTGTGATAATATTATACTTTTTGCTTGTCACTTCAAGTCTTCAACATTATGACTGCTCTTATAACATTATTATACTCTTTTACATGTCACTTCAAATACTGAATTGAATAAGGGATCAAAATTTCTAACTCAAACAAAAATATATATATATAAAAAAAAGAAAAAAAAGAAAAAAGAAGGACATGATAAAAAGGAAGATGATAAGAAGTAACCATGGTTAGGGCAGGGGATATGAGGCTATAAATAGAGAGCTAAAGTCCCTCTTTTCTTCTCAAGTCATTTCAGCCTCAGCCCCAACCTAGTAATCCTATGAATAGCCCTCCCTGAACTCCTCTCTTTCTGCTAAAAAAAATCTTTTAGTTTCAGCCCAATCCTATATACAATCTCTAGTTGCCTATAGCTCAAACGTTCCAAGCTCACTCAGTAAGTCTCTTAACTTTTTGGTCTTTTTTCAGAGAAACAGTTTATTTTGGTGTTTATATTTTCTTTTTCTTTTTGGAACATGTTTTGTTTTAGATCTCAATTTTTTCAACCCTTCTTCCAATATGTTTCATTGATTTTTCGGTTTTTGGAAATGGGTTGCGATTGAAATGATGTAATCCCAATCTATTTCCTCTGTTTGTCTTCCCTTTTATGGTGCTTTTTGTTTTTCTGATCTGACCAAGTTTTGACACCTTTATGGTACTGATTTACTATTAGATCTCCATATTTGATAAGTTTTTTTTTTTTTTTTTTTTTTTTTCAAAGTAATTTAAAGAAAGAGGTCAGGACACTTGAGAAGTTCTTCACTTGGGTTTACTTACCCCCAAAAAAAGGTTCTTCACCTGGGTTGTTGTGTATATGCTGATGTATGTAAAATTCGGTCTCTGAAATATTATGATTTCTGGGGTGATTGGTTCTGTTTGTAGATACTGCTTAATTTTCTCACGAGACAAAGAAAATCAAAATATTTTTACTTTTTACACAGAACCAAACATTTATGCAAATTTTCTCTCTTTAAAGCTCTGGGCTTTGAATCTCTTAAAATTGAATTGTGGAATGTATATCAAATTCTTATGTTTTTATAAAATTATTGTGTGTGTGTATACATGTGTGTAATTGTGTCTATAGATTCATTAGGATAAGGTTAAGATCCCAATCACACTTTGCTGGCGAAACACTAAAACTCACTCTCCCTTTAAATATAGTGTGTAACAAGGTCATTTCAACCCATCTTATTGTATGTGGAAAGTGGGGGAGAAGGGGGTACCCAACAAAATACTTGAGAAAATATCGCTCTAGTTCATACCTGATTGGTTGTTTCTTTTTGTGTTTCATATGAGGATAGGTTTTATTGAATGATTTAAAGGATTTGCTATAATTTTTAAATGATCTTTTTTCACATAAGGCGTTACCCAAATGGGGACCTAGACCCTTCTTGGTAAATAACACCAATTTCATTACTATATTGTTCTTGAAGAATTAGAAATTTCTTAGAAAATCTAATCAGAATTATAAGAACAGTTTAACAAAAATTTTGTCAATGTTGTTTTAATTATTTTCAGAAAGTTGATTTTTGTTGAAAACATGCATTTGGAGATGATACCAAGCAAATTCTCAAGCTTCATCAGTGTAGCTTTTCTCCATGCACTTGTCTCTTTAATATTCCTCTCATATGGACTGCATTGTTAACCTCTTTCTTTTCTCAAATTAGGCTTCAAATTATAATGGGTCTCTCAAATTATCCGACTCCAACTGATGGGGGAATGTTTATTGTAATTCTGGTAAACGCAGCCCTATCTATCTACGTTGTCAAAGATATATTCCTCTCCATCCTTCACGTTGTGGGCATCCATATTGCATCAGCGGAAGAACCTTCCATTGAAAGCATGAACTCAACTGAAGATCGTGGAAGCCCCTCGGATGCCTACGTGGAGTCGTTCCGTAGTGGGAACCCAGTAGTTCGGTTTGATAAGCGTTATTGGCCTAAACAAGAAGAGTGCTCGGTTTGCCTGACAGAGTTTGAACCGGAGACAGAGATACACCAGCTGCCTTGCGGCCATATTTTCCACAAATTGTGCTTGGAGAAATGGCTGAAGTACTGGAAGGTCACGTGCCCTAATTGCAGGACTCTCGTGGTTGGAGAGGAAGATATTTGTCCGTTTTGAGTTGTTTACAGGAAATGTTCCTGGAAGAAGTTCGTTTTACAGCCTAGCTTACTAGTTTACAGAGATTTAACACGGATATATGCAGCAGCTTGGCATATTTATACACTCTTTTAAGTGTTGGATGTGCCAATATGATGTATGTGTCAAGATGATGAAGCTCTGTAACGAAAACTTATCATGTACATATTTTTGTAAGGTTTCTGAAGTTCTATGCGTCTTGAGCTTAGGTAGTAGCTTTGTTGTGAGCTTAGGTAGTAGCTTTGTTGTTGTTGTTGTTGGAGTTGTGGTTGGTTAGTTGTTTGGTTGGGTGGCCTTGCCCCCTTTTCTTGTTGTACTTTGTTTTTTTCATATCAATATAATTATCTATCTTTAGAAAAATATGTCCATCACTATCAGATGGAATGTCCTGCAGCATGATGTTTTGGTTCCAAGGAATTGTGGTGAATGCTCTGTTACACAAAGTCTCAAATGTGTGTGTGTTTTTTTAACAGGATATTAGTCGTTCAAGGAATGAACTTTCTTGTTAAACCAACATGGTTTTTATGGTTTGAGTTAAGGTTGGAGACAAGAAATTTTGCATCTGAATCCCATTCCACTTGAAATTACTAAGACAATAAAATGTAGACACGCAAAAATCACATAGAGAAGCAGAAAACTTGAGTCTAATAGCTCTGAAGTTGCTGATAAGCAAATTCAGATTAGGATCTCAAATTATTAACAGAAACAAATACAACAACCATGTCACTATTACATTCGTAGTCTTAAAAAGCATGAAACCTCAGTAAAAATAAAGCTTACTGAGCATGGAGATCATACAATCTGGCTGGTTTACCGGCTAACTCTGACAATTTAGGGGCAACAGCTAAGTCTGATAGTTTAGAGCCAACCGACATGCTGTTGCGAGTTAGCGTACTAGCATTTCTGTGTTTCCTGCACCGAAAAGATCCAGCATGTGTGGTTGGTGAGCACAGGCAATTGTATCTTACACTGGATGTTTTTCGTAAGGTCGATGGCGATGATGGTGGTGAGGACACCATTGATGATGATTTCTTCACCTCCTCTATATCTAGATGTGGCAGAGCTATCTTCTCTTTCCTTGGCTTTTCATCCATCCTAACCCTGGATTGAATGGTGAGGTTCAGTTGACATTAATGTCGATTAAACAAAGAAAAAAACAACAGATGAAGGTTCAGGACATTGCAGCAATTGAGTCACTTTTGCAAAGTTTTGAACAGAAAAGCAATTCATTGGTTGTGCTTGAACATGAAGGGTAGTTGAAATAAAAAAGTTGGGTTTATAAAACGAATCAACTTAAAGATTTGCGGCAAGAGTAGAAGTAAACATTTTGACTTTTCATTTATAAAACAAAACTAAGTTTCTCACTTTTTAACCCATAACACATAGGAAGACAAAATAGTGAGTTTGAGTAGTTATGTTAGGGAATACTCGAAAAAGATGATTGAATGAAGAACTGAAGGTTGGTTTGGTTTTGTTTCTGAAAACCGAATCAAAGAAATTGATTTGCAAAATATGATTGCCTGATTGTTTCCCGAGCAATTGTGGAAAAAAAATCCATATTTTGGGGATTCATTAACAATTGATATAGATCTGGAAATGGTCATGATTGATAGGCTGTATCTAGTTTTAATTTTTTTTTTTTTCCCGAGGATGAAGATGGTAGATGAAAATGAATTTCCAAATGAAACCAAATAAGCCATACATTAATTTATTATTGCTTGTTTTGAAAATATATATATATATATATATATATAGTTCCAAGAGCATTTGTTTAGACTGAAAATGCCATCTAACTGAGATCTGGACCACCTTTGTTTACAGGTATTTTTACCCATGGCACAACATCAACAGGCTGAAGATGCCACTAAGCCAATTTACAAAAGCATATTATAAATGAGCATACACAATACACACCAAATATATTAAAACAAAAATGATATATATATATATATATATATATAGATATATATATATATATATTTATGTATATATGTATGTATTTAGATGGATAAACTACAGAGGTTCACGGGCAGAAGCTAATGCAATGCCGGACAATGTTCTTGACATGATTCATTAGTAATGAAATTCTTTTGTTCCAACACATGCACATGGAATGGAGAAACAAACTTGGGCAGTATCTTCATGTTATTTCAACACAGAAGAGAAGAACAAAATAAGTGAGAGCATTGTGGACTTTAGATGCACATTACCTGTCGGATATTTCGTGACCAATAAGTCGGGGTTTTCCACTTACTGGGATTTTCTCTTCCTCTCAGTAAGATTTTATGGAGAGAAACAGAAAGAAGAAAACTGCCTTGACAATGGTTAGGAACTTGGTTTTTTCTCTTCAACAGAGTACCATTTGTTAGTCTCTTCAGGATAAATTTCTAAGGTGATGCTAAATCCTCATTTTTGCACCACAAAACCATTTTACTTTTATTAGAAAGGTGATTGCATCCATGTATATTTGCAGTTACATATTTAGCTTTCAACTTGCTGAAATTTCGACAGGTTTTTAGGGGCCTCAATTTAGTGAATGTTATACAGGTTTCTAGGGAGAGTCAGTTGTGATATGTCATACATACATCCAAACATGCCCATATATATTTGTGGTATAATATACCTTGTTTAGTTCTTAAATAAATTTACATAAATAATTACAATTTGGAGAAGAGGCATGTGGAAGAGCAACCTGTAACGCCTATGAATATAATCATTCTTCTTCTTCGCAGAATTTGAAATTTTTTCCGATACCAATTTCGAAGCACCAAACTCAATGCAGCAGCCGACCATAGCATTAACGGTTTTGACCATAATATGAATACAAGCCCCCATCCTGATTAAATATCATGCAACTGGGTACAAGAGAATGAAATCAAAGCATAAACCAAGCACAAGCTAAAGCTTAAACAGAACACCAATTCAAATAACATTGATAGTGTTTTTATAAAAGTACAAGATTCATGAAATTGCTACTTGAACTCCAAACTAACAATTAAGACAAAAATTTCTCAGAAACAAACAGATCAAATCTAAGGATACACGTGAAGATTATCAAATGTAGAAGAAGCAGACATAATAAGACCACACCAACAGGGACTAACTAGCTGGCAGCAGAACTGCAGGTGTTAACACCATCCTTGCAGTCATTGGTAAGATCATTGAAAGTCTCAATCTGCTTCTTTCCCCTCAAGAAAACTTCTGTGTCAACAGACCCCCTCATGTAACCATCGAATTCAACTGGAACCCCATTATTAAGCTTTGTGGTCTCTGCATACCACACGCTATTCTCATCCCAAAGATCTTTATATTCATCAAGAAAATGAGTAGTATATTTGTCTTTCAATGGGTCAAAGAAGGCTGTGTCTGGTTCATCTGTTGCAATGTACAGGTTCCTTCCATCATCAATTTTGTATTTCAAGGTTGAGAGAAGAGCTTGAGGTGAAGTATCTTTCTCGAGATTAGGCCAGAGCTCCTTGTTCTTTGCCTTCTCACCTCTCACAATATGAACGGAGTCAAAATCCCAATTCATCTTCGATGCAATTGCTGAAACTATGTCCATCAACCGTCTAGATTTCCATATCAGATGCCATGGCCGTTGCACAACAGACTCTGTCTCGCCTTCACACACCCTGTACCAGTAATTATCTGGTTCCACGGAGCCAAATTTCCTCATAATCAAAGTATCTTTCACTTCAGTTAACTTCATTGGTGTGATCTTCAAGTCCTCCACAAGATGGAGACTCAATCCACCTTTCTGATGCCACTTACTCCAATCTGACCAAAACTGACCCTGGTCCAACACAGATGCTGACTCTCTTAAATGCTCAAAATCAAAGTAAAACCTGAAATCCTTCCCTTCTTCATCTTGATTTGATGAAGTGTAAATGGAAGACAAACAGATTTTCAAATCCATAACCAGTGTCCGGTTCAAGTACTGAGCTTCACCCAGAGCACACATAAAACTCCAGAGATAGTGATCCATGCTTTTGCATTTATCACCACCTCCTGTGTAAATCAAGTACCGCCCACGATCAAATGACCCCTCAGATTCAACCACGGGCAGTGCGTCATTTACGGTTTCCCCAACCACAGGTAGAGCAATAGTCTGCTGCTCTTTCTCTTCCTTCGCCGGTTTCTTCTCGAAACCCGGTTTCTGATTCTTCTTCCTCTTCCTTGCATTTCCTCCAGAATGGTAATCTCCAATTCCAACCACACTAAGTGTACAATTCTCCGATCTAGAAACCACAAAACTACGGTAATCCTTATAAAAGGCTGCAGTCTTTCCTTCCTTGGGTCTAAACCGCCACGCCATATGGCAAGAAGTATCATTATATCCACGAACAGGTTTGCCAAAGCGGTAAAAATGTATATCCTTGAATTGTTCGATAGCTGCCTTCATCATCAAATGGAACACATCGGGGTCCGTACAGTCAATTGGTTTATCAACCTCAGCCTCACATTCAATATTAGTTGTCACCGGAGTCGCAGAATCAACATCGGTAATATTTATAAAAGTGGCGAATGCAGTCTGGTTGGCAGCCATAAAGTCCTCACCAGTCTTGACAACAGTGCTATCCGATATAAAAGTGGCATTGGAGGTGGATGTAAGGAAAGTTGTGATTTTGGTTGAGGGGTGAAACAGAGGGTCCTCGGGTTCATAAGTTGCAGCAATAATGGTGAAGATCAGGACCCCGATCACGAAAATCGTGAAACAGAGATTCCCAATCATTGCAAGAGCATTTTGGCCTAGGTTTTCCGGCCGGAAACTTCCCGATCGCAATAGAGAAGAACCACCCAACATTTTTCAACCCAAAATTCAAAGAAACCACCCAAGAGCTACTAAGAATACAAAAATTGATCAAATAATCGAACTACAAATCAACAAAACTACCGTTCAATAGTTCGAATAGCACTAGAAAACTAAGAATCATTCAGCAACAATGCAAGAATCAAAAAGGAGCTAGGGTTTTACAGATCTGGCAATATCAACTAAGACTGAGACCTCTCACTAGCAACAGGAATCAAACGGAAATAGAATTTGAAAGATAGAAACGAAATGCAAGTTAATTGGAGATGATGGAAGGAGATTCAAACAACAATTATACAGAGCCTATATATATAGATCTACTGTATCTATAGCTTTGGGTAATCAACAAAGAAGCAGAAGATCGAATGCTAGAGTTTTCATACCTTTTCTACATCTGGAGACTAGACATCATTAGCAGCACCACATAAATTCAGCCACATATCACTCGCTTTCTCTCTCTACAGACACTACAGAGTCTTCTCTCTCTCAAAACTGGTCCGACCGCAACTACTTGATTGTTCAATCTTGTAGTCAAAAGATGATGACGATTACACTATAGTAATATACAACGCTCCAGGATAAAATGAGCATGGAGGTGCAGTGCGCTTATGCTATTCTGATGCTTCCACGTATATAGTGATATTTCATGGATGGTTGGATTGGGTTTGGGATACTGCGCACCCGGCGCATGAACTGTTTATGTTTACTTTATTTTATTATTATTATTTTTTATATATATAAAAAATCATTTATTATTTTTGTAGCACACATAAATGTATTATTAACTTGATATATACAGTTACACCGACAACTTGGTGGTCGAAATGTAAATTTAATACAAATTAGATCTAAATGTAAAGTCAAGTCCACTGTATAGCTTGGTCTGCTATAGCCTTTTTTTTTTTTTTTTTTTTTTTTTTTTTTTTTTTTTTTAACTTTCATCCGTGCTAAAATAATTGTTCATTTTTTTATTTTAAAATGTTTCAAAAAAATATATTTTATTCTAAAATTAAATGCATTATATTTTATAATATTTTCAAATTATCATTTTATCTAAATAAGTGTATTAATGAACACTATTTTATCTTTTAATAAGGACATATTTAAAACTTCGCTCCCATCAATATAATAAAAAATTATTAAAACTCCACTATTATAAAAAATTAAATTCCCAAACAATACATGTATTTTGATACACGACTAGATATAAAAATGTTTTAAAAGTTCAAATAAACACTTCACAATATTGTTCCTAACAAAATTTGAACTCTTCAAATAAAAATCAATTTTGTATAACAAGTTCACATGTAAGTTAAAAATTAATGAAAAATGAAATAATAGAGTTAGAGATTCGGTTAATCACACCAAACATGACTGTGAAACAAAATGTCAGTTTACTTTTTGAAAAAAAAAAAAAAGAAGTAAAAATATGATATTTTTTCACAAAATAATAGAGATACAGATTCGGTTAATCACACCAAACATCACCATGTAACAAAATGTCAGTATTACATTTTTTATTAAAAAAAATAGTAAAAATCAGGATATTTGTTACAAATTATTATTATTATTTGGGTAAACAAACAAAGCACACTCGTTATTCTAGATATTCTCTTTGAAGAGGGGTCGAAGTGAAATAAGAGACGATTGCTGGGTCTTTAGATGGAATAAAGGCTAAAAGCACATGCATATTTGAGATTGAGATTTGGCAAGCTAAGATATGAAATTCCAAATAATAATAATAATAATAATAATTACTTGGTTTGATCTTGTCTTGCCTATTTAAGATTATAGATTCATTTATTGGGTTCAATTAATGTTTTGGGGCCTAAGCTGCATAGAAAAGCATCATTTGATAGGGAAACAATCTCCCTCCCAGAGATATTGCTGGAGAATTGCAAGGCAAATGGATTGGTGGAACTCCCTCCATTTGGTTGCAGGGTTCTTGTATAAGGAGAGAGAATAAAGAGCTTTATTGTTTTGTTCCCTCCTAGTCCCTTCCCCTTCCTTTCTCACTTAGAAACCAAACATGGGAAAACCTCAACTCCTCCTCCTTTTCCTTCCCATTAAACTCTCTCAATCTAAACGCACTCTTAGCTGTGCTTTTAGGCAGTGTAATGCTTCAAGGAATGTCAGTAATAGCACAGTAAAACGATAACTAGGGTATGAATTTTTTTAACATCAGGAAAAATCAAATACAATAGTAAGGTTAACAAAAATATTCTTCAACGTTGATTTGATTTTTCTTAACCTCAGGAAACAAAATGCTGTTTTTGCTTATACATATACTCATTACAACAATCAACTGTTTAACTATATTTCTTGCTATCAAAACTCACTTTACAGGTAAGACCAGAAGAAAGACGACAAAACAGGAACTGGTATAATCCCCAAAAACCTAGTCTTACCTTGAAGAGTGTCTATAAATCCTCCAACAAAATGAACCCCAGGAAATAGAGAAGTTTCTCAATGCTCACTACAACGAAACACAATTGTGAAGAATGGTAAAACCATGAAGACCTGCACATACCTGCCCCAACTATCTTATAATGGTCAATATCATTTACAGGAGGATTTACCTTTTTATATCCTCAGCTCGACCAACTGGTCCATATCTCCAGACTACTTTTATAGATTTACACTCTATTTTGTGCCCAATCTCTAATCTGCTTGATATTTTCACTTTTCCTTCAACTGAACTTGTTGGAATCCCCCAAAAAATACTAACACCCGCCCCCCCCCCCCCCCCCCCCCCCCCCCCCCCCAACACAAAAAAAAAGAAAAAGAAAAACCATTTCAGAAACTACTGGGCCAGTTAATCTGTGCATGTTGAAGCTGCTGAAAGACACCAGCTGTAGGTCCGACCATATCAACAGCTCCAGCAACGGTCTGAGACACTTGTAAAAGTGGGTGAACACTTGCTGGTGTGACAGCTTGTGCAGGCTGATAGAAACCAGGAAAGGTGCCATGGCTGGCCTGCATTGGGTTGAAAGTCACCTGACCTGGATGAATGTTGTAGAAGGAACCAGCCTGCAAAGCAGATATGTCTCGGCCTGGTGGAGTGATCCATACAGCTGAACCTTCAGTCTGCAAAAATAAATGATCATATCCTTCATGCAGCTTGAGACGAGTGGAGAAAGAAGGAAAAATAGAATGTATGAGTTAACTGAGCTCAAAGCAAGTAAACTTCAGCAGTTCCAGTCAATCAGGAAAAAAAAAAAAAAAACCAACTTATAATGAGATTCACAAAAAACAACCGCCACTGAATATTCCGACTGGAGTTAGACCAAGTGTAAATATAATAAAGTCCGACAAGCACATCATGTTAAGGCTCCTAAACTTATTCCAAAAATTCACAATCCGATCCTTGGGTTCCTACACCTAAATTCATTGTATAACCGCTGACAAACCACTAAAATATGGAACATATGTTTGTTCAATCAAAATCTTAAAAATAAGTGGAGCCAGACAACAAAAATATAATAACAAATTTCACGTTACATATTTTTCTTCTCTATTTTTATTAAACAGGGTTGTTACTTTATCAAGGGGTAGATAGCAAGCACCAAACCACAATATGTAACACAAACTGCCAAATGGACATTCAAACCCAATCCTTCCACGTCCATTGATCTTCATTCTTCACTAATGCTTCCATTTTCTCATCCCAGATCAAAGTGAAGTTTACAATTCGTCTAAATTAAATTATTAATGGGTCCTTCAGTAAAACAAATTTTTAATATAAAAAAATAACAAGATTAATCATATAAAGTATATAAAAACCAACCTGCTGCGCAGTAATGTAAACATTACTTTCCTTTAACTGGGATGAAGCAAGATCCTCATTAACGGCTGAGTTTCCATTTGTCACAGCTAAACTGGGACTATAACCAGCTGGGGAGGAGCCATATGGTCCATGGCTTCCAGGCAATACAATATGGGTTGCATTTCCTGCATTAGTTCCTGGTTTGTATTGTGGAAGTGAAAATTTGGCAGTTGCTGCTGGTGGAGGTGGATATACACTGCCAGCCTGTGGTTGCTGAGGGAATGCACCATTGCTTAAAATTTGGTGGACAGCTGGAGGTGGAACATAAAATGGGGAGATATAGTGACCATATGGAATGAAGTTCTGAGGATAATAGGGTATATGAACCCCAGTTGGTAGTCGGAAGAGAGGGAGTGGTTGCTGAGTTAGAGCTATTGAGTTCTGCATGACCACAGCAGCTTGAGTTACAAGTGGAGTTGGACCTGCTGTAGACAAAACCACAGAGTTTCCACCCTGCGATTAGACATATATAAATCATCAGAAGTGGACCTATATATATATTAATAAAGAAATGTATCAAAATGAGGCAGGCTAGAAGCTGTTTGTTCATCACTCACAGTTGAAATATAGAGAGGTTTCATTTATCAAAATATAGGGAGAGGGAGAGGGAGGGGGGGAGGGTGGGTGGTGGACATGATACATATTCAAGACTAAAATAAAAAAAATGAATGTCTTCTTAAACAAAAGCTTAATATATTAAAAGGAATAGCAACCAATCCAAGATTGCCATTACACAACAAGGTTTATGATAATGATGACAACACCAACTTAGTCCCTACTATGGAACAATTTACCAATATCCTTCCTGGAGGTCCTCAATAGAAATGTTACCATCTTGAGCTATGTAAATAGGATGCATGAAGGGATCTGCATGAAATTCAGAATCAAACACAAATCCTGCAAAGGAAGCCCAAAAATCCACAGGACAGGGACAAAATATGATCTTTTAATGGAGAAACAAAAGCAGCAGGTACATGGTGACATTTTGACCAGCAAAAAATCGAACCCTGACAATCACATGGCGCAGAGTTATGACCGTCTTCATCAAAATTAAAATTTATGCCCCACAAAAAATAAGATGTTTAGCTTGCAACATCACCTTCTGATAAATCTCTAACATAAATATTTTCTGTAACATAATTGTAAGAACTATCTAGTCTTTTCACACAGTGGGTAAAAAGTTGCAAGGATTTGATATGCACTGACCTCTTGAGGAGGCTGAGAAGTCTGTGGAGATAACACTGTAACACTCCCATTGTACTTAGCCGCAACTCCAGGTGAATAAAAGGGAGAGACACGGCCATCACTATCAGCACCAAACCGATAAAATTGAGCATAGCATGTTGGATCAAGTGGTTGTGGAACCTATACATATAATCATATGATAGCCAAAGAATTTTATAGCAAATTCTAGAAAATAAAACCAGAAAACATGAAAATATTTTTGAAAAATCACAAGCCAAAGTCAACTAAAAGCAAATAAACTTTAATCAAGAGACATGAGCTTTTATTTAACAGCCATGAACAAGTTGAAGATATTGAGATTCAAATGCATAAAAAGTATGTTATCTTGAACAACAAACAACACGGAAGACCCGATGGTCAAAGACTTACAACAAAGCTAGGAAGGTGAGAAACATCACGTGGTTGAGACTCGGAGCTTTCAAATGGTGCAAGCTGACTGCTGAGCATTGGAGGCATGAAACCAAAATTGTAGTTAGAAGCAGTATGAATCGTTGAACACTGACTGCTTACAGGTAGCAAGGTAGTCTCTTGCTTTGAATCAGTATACTCTGGTGGGACTGCAGTGGACAAGACATCGCCCTCACTAGAAGAAAAATTTTCTGGGACATGTGTAGGTGATTGCGGATGATTGGTAAAATCTCCTTCCTCAGCAGTTGCCAATGCATTTTGATTGCTAAGTCCAATGATAGAGCAAGTAATAAAAATTGTCAATATACAATACTCATAAGGTATAAGTACATAGTTCACGATGTACAGTATTCATTTGCAGCGACCACATAAGGGTTGGAAATGCCCAACCAGATGTGTTTATTTTTCACAGTTAAAAACAGTAAAGTCGGTCTTAAATTTTCTAATAAGGCATTCCATTCTAGCCGTTTTCCCCTACACTCAGCTTGGTTTCACAACCCCCTCCATCCCTGCCCCCACTTCTCCCTCCCAATGCCCATGAAAGTTCAAATCTTCGTTTTTTGGATAAACACGCAGTCTCAATACACCAGAGCAAGGATTAATTTCATACAAGTATAGCTGTCATCCGGAAAATCAGTTCCTTTATGTCCCCTGCAGAACAACTACGCAGTGTAATGACAACCTAGCACTAAACATTGAGAAACTGTTTCATGGAAGGCAACTAAAGAATTTTCTATTTGAACGATTAAGCAAAGAAGATGATTATTTATTCACCTTACATTTCATTCACAAATCCCAAACTATCATTCCTCTGAGTCTCTGACCAGCCATGACACAGACAAATTGCATAGACAAGACAAATGAAATGGCTAACTCCAACATCTCACATGCATATCTGACCTCTCATTGCTAGCTCACAGTTCTGATCACGTATCAGCTAAGTGTATAAATTTACTCGTTATGTGGACCAGACACAGCAACCCTCACATAATAATTAATCATTATCATTACCAACACAATAATAATAATTTATAACCAACGATTATAGCTGCTGTTGTTACAAGGGTTTTTAGTTCTTGCCCATAAAAAAGACAAATGACAAAATCCCTTGTCCTAGGCAAAATTAATAACCTAAGATACTGGGCATTAAACAAAACCTAATCCGAAATGATAAAATTCTATTGCCAAAATTTTTGGAGTCTTTGTTGATCTCTTCAGCCCATGAGACGAGTCAAGGGACTTTAGTTCTTCCTAGAATAAAAGAGAAAAGGGGATAGCAAAATCCAGTGTCTTTGCTGAAAATAATTTCCCAGCATCATAATCAATCAGACAAGAAAAGAAACATAAAATTTTCACAAACCTTGAGGACTGCTCCACAGTTTCTTCAATCCTAGCAGAAATTTCAGAAGGAGTTGTAGCACTCTTGTCACTTTCTCTATCATTATCAGAGCTTGTGCTAAAACCAAAACTTGTATCAAAACTTCCAAAACAAAACCCAAAATTTTCAACTTCAGGGACATGGATATGACTTGGGAAGATAACATGTTGAACATCTGAAATATGTAACTTATCAAGCTTCCTCCTCTGCAGTTTTGAAGTGGCTTCCATTGAATCAAGCGCACTAAATACAGGGCCTGACCGGGTATTAGCTTCCACTTTATTGGGGACCTCAGATGAACCAGCTGTCCCAGACCCTTGAGCAAGATTAGGGTTGGTTGGCTTTGCTTTCCACTCCTTACTAGGCACTGTAAAAAACCACAGGATTTATGAGTTATTAACAAATGTTAGAAGTACTGTTTCGGTATAATCAAAGAAGATATTAAGACGAAACAAAGAAACAAGTCTGTTACATCACAAGAAAAGTATATCTAGTGAATAAAATTTTCAAGGTCCTCACGGGCAGTTGATTTGCTCTCAACTGGGATAACTGTTATATGTTGCAGGCTTTGGGTTCCATGTTCAATTGTAACCATAGCACTGGGGAGCCGTGAGTCAAGAGGCGGCACCAGAACTGAATCTGAATCTGAAAAATAGTCTCTGGAGGAAGGCGCTGTAGCCATTGAAGCAGAGCTGTTATTTGAGCTTGGTGTGAGCTGCCCCAGTGTGTCCCCAGTTCCAAAATCAATGGTAGGGTTTTCCTTTGCGCCAACAGGGTGCATAATTGATGATGAACCCCTCAGCTTACTTATGCCAACAGTTGAAACCTCCTCGGATTGATTGACTGCGCCACCTGCAGACAAATGGGCAGTATGTGCAGCACCAGTAATTTCAGAAGCTATGTCAGTGGAACCATCGGTTACGACAATTACAGAGCTGCAAAAGATAGAAGATGAAACTTGTAAGTATTATATCACTCGTTGTCAGAGCAAATAGATTTGATAATTTAAAGAAGATCAGATCCTGTTGAACATAGCAGAAAATCTATTACAAGCTGTAGCACCTTGTTGTGGGAGTGGTTTGTTTATTTTTCGTATTCTGAGAGGTAGGGGAAGACGGGAGACCAACTCCCTTGTCTGAAATGTGAATGAATCCATTTTCCTTTCCAGGAGCAGAATTTCTACCACCACCAATATCTGACCATAATAGTATATGAGATAAAAGTAGCTGATATGCATACAAGAAATATATGACATGCTCATGCAAATGTTACATAATCATAGCTAACGATATCCAAAAGAAAATTTGAAAGATAAAATACATAAAATCATGTACAACAAACAATTGCAACATGATCCAATTCTGCAAGCTAAAAGGGCAACAAAATTCTGAGAACTGAAATTCTCAAAAGATAGCTGCATCAAGTAGTGGTTTACCATGAGCAAAGTAACGAGGTAAATAGTTCCCACGCCCAGCACTGCTCCACCGACCCTGCATACCAGGCCTCCACCTCAACTCTGCAGACTCTTTGTTGTTCAAATTCTGCAAAAATATAAACATTTAGGTAATTGAAGTACTAATAAAGCACCAAAAAGAAAGAGTTAAGACAAACTAAAATAAAACAAAACCCTCTTATATTTATCAAGTATATAAGAAAAGATACAATGCAAATAGTAAGGTGCTAATTTGATTAGAACTTGATAGTGATAAACTAGATAAAATTACTTGTAGAACAAATCCTTTTTCTGATTACAGCTATTCCAGTGGTACAGATTTTACACATCTAATTTAGCATCATAATCTTCTCAACTTAAATTTATACCCATTTCACTTCCCATCTGGATCCTATGTGGGACACATCTAATAGTAAGGCACTCTCCCAGCCCCTGAGCTGCAAACAAAAAGGAAGTACCGGAGTACAAGATTTATGCCACTTCATACAGAACTTATTGCACGTGATATTATTTTCCTCGTTGCTGGGCGCTTAGCGTGACAATTGAACAAGGACTGGGTGTGACTGTGATACCAACTGTAATGGGCCGGGTGCTTCGCGGTCTGACCCAAAAGCTTAAGCTATTGGGTAATGTTGCATACCCACCCATTCATACCCATTTCACTTCCCATCCGGATCCTATGTGGGACACCTCTAATAGTAAGGCATTTGTAGAAGAGAACTCTCCCAGCCCCTGAGCTGCTAACAAAAAGGAAGTACCGGAGTACAAGATTTATGGCACTTCATAAGGAACTTATTGCACATGATATTATTTTCCTCGATGGTGGTATACTTGTTGGTTCTTCTACATGCATGTAAACACTTAAGCATAGATCTCCTCGATGCCTTGCCATTGTCCGTAACAGGTCATAGGGACTGGGAAAGGAAAAGCGGGTAGGGTGATTCAGTCACCATAATATTATGTTCAACATCTCATGTAATGTTGAAGCGCGAGACTCATGTCTGTGTAAGCTGATTACTGTATACAACTAATAGAAGGAAGTAATGTATTCATCAATATTAATGGCACAACTTATGGGTCCATTGCCAACTCATAAAACAACCTTACCTCTTTTCTCTTGTCACGTTTTCTTTTGACCTCATGGAATGTATCTGTGAAAACATAGCATGCACTTGTTATTTTCTTCAGAGAGGATGAAATCAAAAATAAAAGAGAACAGTTGGATACATTTATTAATCCTGGATTTAATAAAAGTTCTATCCATCCCAATGGAGATAACAAAACAAAGATGCAGATTTGACTGGTACAATACCTAGAGAGAGAGCAAGAGAGAGAGACCCATAACACTTGGCAACTGTTCATTCAAAACATAACCAATAAAATCATAAGGAAAAATAACTATGCCAGAGCATGCTTTTTGAAGTTCAATGTCTAATTTTCTTGTAACCCCAAAATGCTCTGAGCAAAGATTATTATCAACTACTAAAAAGGTAATAAGTCAATTAGATCACTTAATCCGTGCTCAAAACTGACAAGCCTGACTCAAAGCAGTTAAAATATCCTTTAAATAGTGCCTTCTCTAAGCATAGAGTAGTAGTAGTAGTAGTAGTAAGTGACAGCAGTAGATAGACTTATCAAAAAAAAAAGTGACAGCAGTAGATAGAACTTTATCTAAGTGCTTGATTTCCATGTTGTCATATATTTGAACTAAATTTTCTAAATATCACAATAAAAATTGATTCCATTGCTGAGATACATCTAAGAGAAAGCCCACAACTTGAAAACATTGATCTTGAACACCTGAGGCAGATAACATTTGAAACTCGGCATGAAAAGATGATCAAGAGGTATTAAATTAACTAATGAACAACCTCAATTAAAATAAATTACATGATCACTTCAACGCACCACTTAGTCTACAATTTAATGATATCTAGACTAGTGTTAAGCAAGCATCACTTGCAACGATTTATGGCAAGTTTTCTGCTCTTATCAGTTCATACATAGAAGTTCATTAATAATGGTAACATTATTTGTTTGCAAAAATGTATTAAATCTAAACAACATTACAACCATGAACTGATGAAAGTGATAAAGTAACCAAGTGGCTCAAGTCCAATCTTCTATCTATCCTATATCAAACTCATGAACATCAGAGTCTTAACAACAAGCTCATAGTCCTGAAACCATACTATAAAAAGCCAACCCAAATTAAGCTGTGAAAACGAGGGCAAGAAAAATTCAGAGCAACAATTTTCCTGTAAATGACAAGAAACAACAGTCAACCTTAGAAAAAGTAAATAAAAAGCGAAAACCCAGTAAAGCTAATCAAAACCCCAACTTGGTTTGACTCAAGTAAGAGTATACACCATAACAAAAACATACCAAATCTAATCAAACCAAATCCCAAATGAAGAATCCAAAATCCATTAATCACCAATCATAGTTCACAACACATCATGATGAAAAATCAAGATCAACCCCAAATAATACACCATAGAGCTCAAAGAGAAGAAGCCGAAAAAACAAACAAAGAAAGATAGGAAACCCTGAAGGAGGAGCTTCTGGGCCGTCTCATTGGGATCCATGGAACACTCCTTGAGCGTGGCATATATCTCCTCTTCACTGGGATTGCCCGTGATCTCCTTGATATTGTGGATTGTCTTGCGAACACTGCTTGGGATTGAAACCCTAGCATTAGTGCTCATGTTTACAAAGCACAAATTAGCTGTATATATCTATATGATATGATACGTATAGAGAGAGTGAGCGTGTGTGAAATTTAGAGAGAGAGAACAAAGACTGTAATGGAAATGAGATGATGGTTGTATTGAATTTGATCTATTGTCAGGTGTAGAGGTAGAAAGACAAGAAAAGTAGAGATGAGCGAGAGAGAAGTGAGCAAATGAAGAGAGTTTTGGAAGGCATTTTGGTTTTGTTCCCTTTTCTTCGTCTTTCGTTTGGACATGTAGGAGGGAAAAGCAAAGGAAATAATAGCACATGCTTATCAAGGGGGTAAAAAATAAAAATAAAAATAGCGAAAAGAAAATTAAAAGATTTGATTTTTATTATAAGTACAATAAATGAAAAAAAAAAAATTCACTTGGCATGAAAAATAGAAGCAAAATTAAACGATCTTATTATATTTATAGTTTATTTCTTTTGTCTTTTCATTTTTATCTTCTTTTTTTAAAAAATAATCTTATTTTCCTCCTTTTCATTATTGAAATAATCAAGAGACCCGCAATTTACAAATTTGTTGTTACATTTATAATCTCTCCCGTGTATTTCAAATTTTAATTTATTGACTACTTAAAATTTAAAACTAGTAAATCTAGTTTAATATAGTATTTTGTCTTATCTTTGTGTACCTCTAATTTAACATGACTAGAGAAATCAATTACATCATTATATACCATCTTCACATAAAATTTAAAATTTAAAAATTAAAAAGTAAATTATTAATCTGGTGAATAGTTAAGATGAAAGTTAGTTTGAAATTAATGAGAAATTAGATTATAATTAAATAATTGGGAAGAAATTAAGGATTTATTAATTTGAACACATTTGAACTAAGATGCATGATTACTCCATTTTACAATTCCTACTCTATTCCATACGCAGCCGTCGTTAGGTTCTAAACCACTACCTGAAACCCTTGCGCCCTACAAATATTTCTTGTCTGACTCTGAGATTTCTCTCTCATCTCGTAACTAGAGAAGCCATGGGTTCTAAGGCGTCCGATAATCCTCACTTCGGAGATGGTGCAAGCCCTGGGTACGTCTCTCTCTATATACACACAAATATATCTTACCTATATATATATATATATATATATATATATATTGTATTTTTGCAGTCAATGATTAATAGGTTTTTTTTTGTTTTTTTGTTTTTTATTTTCATGCTTTGAATGCCACAGCAAAATCTTCATCGGAGGCTTAGCTAAAGATACAACCTTAGGTTAGCTCTCCATTTCACTATCGACACTCGACAGCCACCTCAAATATATATATATATATATATATATGTATACAATGTTTGTTGGATGTGGTAAGATTTTCAATTTGGAGATATGTATGATTTCCATTTTCTTGATTTGTGTTGGTGATGGGTACAGATACGTTCGTGAGGTACTTCGGAAAGTATGGAGAGATTACAGATTCGGTTGTAATGAAAGACCGACACACGGGTCGGCCCAGGGGTTTTGGGTTTATCACATATGCAGAACCATCTGTTGTGGACACTGTTATTGCAGAAACGCATGTCATCAATGGCAAACAAGTAAGGAATAATCTACTCTATTTGGGTTATTTTTTATTTTTTATTTGCTGTTAACCATTTCTTTTGACTGCAAGTTAAGTGTGCATATTTGTTATGCTTTCATTGTTTGTGAAGATCACTTATGAGAATAAATGGATGACAGAAAAATCAGATTATATGATCTTAAGTTTTATACACCATAAACTGAAGTGCTATGTTTAAACTTAGCTGAGCCCTGGTTCTTGGGTTTTAATGGCCTTACAAACCGGAAGAAAGAGAAAATGAAAGACAAATTACAAACTGATGTTTGGTTAATGGTCTGGATGTATGCACTATGTATACTTCTGAGAGAAAGTTTAAGATGGCAACATATTCTCCCAAAAGCAAAATAAACATTTGAAAAAAATGAAATTCCTGAGCTATTATGTGATTGACATTCTGAAAGTATGCAATATACACTCGAAAGCAAAATCAATGCTACAAATTTTGCTCCCTCTGAAGCAAAATAAATATGCATAAAACACAATCGAAATGACACAGCCTGAAACCTTAAATGTATGTTCACTTCTCCTTTCCACACAACTCGTCAGCCAAAATGGAGAAATTTGTCTAGCTAGAGTGAGGAAACTGAATACATCTTACAATGAACATTTCAGTCACAAATTTTATTAATATCTGGAGTTATTTTTTGTTTACCAATTAAACATATATGGTTAAGCTAGGGTGGAATGTGGGATTATTGTTTTACAAGTATTTTGATATATTTGAGCTTATCTAGTGATGAGATTGTTTTCCGGGATGCATTTATATTGTTTTGTCAAGTTAGGTCATCTTGTTGAGTGGAGAGGATTTACTATGCGGTCATATATTCTCTCTTATGAGATGAACTTTCAAAGTTCCATTCGAAACACTTTGTCCCATATAATGTCTGCAGCGAGAGGGCTTGAATTGTGACTTATGCAATTAATTTTGTGCAGGTTGAGATTAAAAGAACCATTCCCAAAGGTTCTGCTGAATCCAAGGATTTCAAAACAAAAAAGATCTTCGTTGGTGGGATACCAACATCTGTCACCGAAGGTCTGTATTTAACTTTTAAACATTGCAACTTGACTATTAATTGTTGTTTCTAAATTGATGCTCTTTTTTACCCTTCTCCGTCTTTCAATTGGAATACTGTTGTATTTAGATGAGCTCAAGAGTTTCTTTTCGAAGTATGGGAAGGTTGTGGAACACGAGATCATACGAGATCATGCCACTAGCCGCTCTCGTGGCTTTGGATTTATTGTATTTGATAGTGAACAAGAAGTTGATAATATGGTGGCCAATGGGAATATGATTGATATGGCTGGTACACAGGTGAGTTCAATCGATTCTTTCCCATGGTATCTGATGCACTTGGACATAGCTGTAATTTGTATAAGAAAGAAATTAAATATAGCATTTTTTTAGCTTTCTTAGTGGAATTAATCATGATTGCTGTTTCACCCGGTTGATCCATGGCAGTACTATATTTTAGTCAACCTAGGGGTACTAATAGTTGTTTGGACTTTCATTAACAAAGCAGGTTGTAGGTTTGTTTCTCTTGTGCCTGGCTATCAATATAATTTTCAGGTGGAAAACCTAGGTTAACTTACTTCTTTGTTGTAGGTTGAGATCAAGAAGGCTGAACCAAAGAAACCCTCAAAACAAGCACCTGCTACATCTTATGGTAGTGATTCTAGGGCTCGAGCATATGGTGATGATTTTGTTGGGTTTGGCAACTCCTATAGCAGTTTTGGCGGTGGCGGTTTTGGCCCTGCTTCTTATAGGTCATTTGAAGGTCTTGGCAGTAGGCTTGGTAATTATGGTGGATATGGTGGTGGTGGTAGTGGTAGTGAATTTGGTGGTCGTTATGGGGACTTTGGCGGCAGTGATTTCATTGGATACAGGGGAGAGCCCTCTTTTGGCTATTCTAGTCGCTTTAGTTCCTATGCCGGAGGGTTTGGTGGGGGATATGGCGGAACTGGGTTAGGCACATATGGCCAGGGAGGTGGAGGCTATGGGAGTTATGGCGGATCAGGCTCTGGTTATGATTCTGGCCCTGTTGCTGGTTTTGATTCTGGCACTGATGCTGGTTATGGTGGTGCAGGGGGGCTGTACAGAGGTAGAGCAGGTTATAGTGGTGGCAGTAGTCGTTACCATCCTTATGGAAGGTAGAAACTTTCCTGTGCTTTCCTTAGAGGAGTTGCACACATGATTCCTGTTTTTCAGTACATTGCATTTTGTGGTTCAGTAGTCACTTAAAGCACTTACTGCAAGGTACACTATCCAGTAGATCTGAAGAGCTATTAGTTTGTTTCCAATTACTTTATGGGATAGATCATTATCAGTTTATGGAATAGACATTAGTTTCTTTCTAATCGCTTTTTGTAGACAATGCGATTTAGATCATTATCAATTTAGAGTTAAATGCCTATGAATGTTCTCTTTAGACACTGATGTAGTATTGAAATACTACAGTATAATTTAGTTAGAATCAATTGTTCTATAGTGGTTGGTTTTTTTGTGTTGCAATTATTCTGGATGCTTGTCAATGCAGAATGCTTATTGTTCCATATTGACACAGCTTATTATGTGTGGCTAACCAATTTTGTGGCTGGGGTTCCTTTATGGATTCTTGTTACAGTTGTTTTATTCTATGTTTTTGCAACATGATTACCCATGGCTTAAGAACTATAGAAGTAGTCCCAGCCACAAATACATTGATACTTAAATGAATGGTCACGTATGTATTTGATATCTTAAGAACTATAGCTAGTATATGAAGGACTTGTGAATCACATCAGAAGCCTAACTCTCGCTATAGGATGCAGTGTTTTTCCTGCTACCATCATAGCTTACAAGTTTTCTGGGCTGTGTTAAGATTACAAATATGTTGCTCAATTGTATTGGAATCTTCTGTGGAGGATGGGTTTGTTGGTTGCCTTATGCTTGAAAAGGATTTTATATGCTCCATTAAACATGTCAACTGCAATATTTTTTAGAATCATAATTAGCTTGCTTCTGATGTCTCTGCTCATTGCATGGGTTTAGTATGCAATTGCCAGAGACTCGGATGCTAAAAGATGCATGGGCTTTTACACTTCCATTGTTTGAAAAACTTCCTACCCATTTGGGAGAGGCATATGCATGTCACCATAGTTGGCTTAAACTTCTTCAATTAGGTTGCTCTTCAATGCACTTAATTGAAGTAGAGGGTAACTTTCTTAGTGAAGTACTGGTAGAAACAAGTCATTGTAGAGGATGTGACTTATGAGTCTTTTCGAGGAAAGATAAATACTGTTGAGGTGTGTGTATGTGAAGTTTATTTGTTTTTAAAATTTATACTTTTTTTCCCCTGCTGAACTAAAAGTAACTCATGGAATAACAGCCTTATAAATTCTTTCTGGGATTTTGTTGTGCATGAAGTTTCAAGTATAATTTTAAGTAATGTTTTCGATTTGAATTGAAGCATTTTATGAATATATTGTAGATTTTGAGTGCCTGTATTAGTGGATTGTGATTTTTGGAAATGTTTGCGGTTTACAGTTTCCAGTACGGTCGGGTAGACATACAAGTGTGAAATATTTCTTGTAAGTTTGTAACAGTGTCCAGTACCATCGGGTAGATGTAAAATTGAAGCATTTCTTGATTTGTTTGCGCACCGAAGATCTTTTGGCCTTTGTATTGTTAATTTTTTTTTTTCGTTTCTTTTCAAATAAACGCGTTGGTTGCAATTCAGAGGTTTTAAATTTAATTTTGCGTGAGTTGGAAGTACAATTATGGTAGTTTCTTGGTTTACTCTTTCAAATGTGAAAAGCTTACATCTATTCTTCTCATTGCTTCGTGTATCACAAAAGAAAAAAAGGAAAATTACTATATATGTGCGTTTTGGTAATTAGGCATGTTTGGTTGAATGTAATTTTTTGGTTGATAGTTTTATGAAGACTATTTTTTTTAATTTTAATTAAAAAACAAGTTTTTCACTTTATAGTCTTTCATGATCATCTTAACACAGTTTATGGTTTTTTTCGTAGTTCTTTAAAACTGTTTTGAGAAAACTGAGCCAAATAGGATTTCAGTTGTTAAATAATGAATTTGATTTGATAGATCATCAAAGGCGGGTTCTCTGTTTGTCCAACTCCAACCACAAGTATTTGGAGGAAAAGGTTCCAAGTAATCCATGAACTGTAATCTTAAAAGTTATCTTTGCTGCAAATATTTGTTGTTTGATATGCCAAATGAAACACGTAGATTTTGTTCTAAGAAAGTCATCTAAAAACGAATCAGAAATAATCCTCCTTTTTGAATCGGCATATTTAGTGAGCTATTATGAAGCAAGATGACTCGAAATTTCATATTGACCATACCAAATGACTATTTCAATCAAATTTGATTGGACTTAGAATGTTATATAATCTGTACCACCTTTTCTCTTTTCCTATTACCTTTCTCTCTCTCGTCTCTTAATTTGCATTTCAAAGTTTTCCTTTTAGAAACGTTTGAGTAATTGACAATTGATTATGAATAAATACAATTCTAAATGAATGAAATCATAATGAAATTGAGCTACCAGTATTTTGTTTTTTTATTATATTGATTAATGACCACTAATATGGATAGAATTCGTTTGTTAGAGGACCATAGCATGAACCAAACAGTTGAAGAGTACAATGAGCAAAAAAGCAAATGAAGAATGAAAAGAACAATTAAAAAATAAAACACACACACGCACAAATTCTTTCATGGAATCAAACTGTTTTTCCAAAGCATATGTGCTGTCTCTTAAATCACTCCTTGTGGGTTAATTGGGTTAAAATACACTTGTTGAAACATAATTTTTTTTGGTAGAGATTTGAATAATTCTAACTTATAAGACTTCGGAACTATTAGAAAATTACAAAATAAAAGTGAACAACAAAGGGCAATAATTAATCATGTCCCACAACGGTTTTCCAACAAGCCGTACAACAAGCCCTACAAGGAGCTCTTGGAACTTTCAATGGTAGTTTGAATAACGTTGAGAATTTTGGATCGCTGCAAAGCGGTTTGTAAAGCATGGAACTACCTCAAGTCCAACTTCATGCCTCTTCACTGCAAGAGATCGAATACCGTTATTATGTTTGCAACCACGTAACTTACATTAATTGATTTGGGCGTGATAAACGAACAATCTTGTACCGCAACGGATTTGATTGTAGAACCACCGAGGCAAATATCTCCGGCAGTTGGCCTCGGTGGTTCTACAATCAAATCCGTTGTGGTACAAGATTGTTCGTTTATCACGCCCCAATCAATTAATGTAAGTTACGTGGTTGTCTCTTTAATTTTGTGTACGCTCATGTGGATGTGGTTTCACAATTATGTGCTAACCTTGCCATTAATGTGTGTTATGTGTGTAATAGATCAAAGAACCAGCATTACAATTATGGATGCGAGACCTTCGACTCCCAAACTTGGTGTTGGAAGAAAGGATGTGGTTGCCTGATGGCGTTCAACCGGCAGTCCTCCACCATCCTGTTGTTCTAGGTAATGAAATTCACTGGCTGTTGACCAACAATTGTGTATTGACATTCAACGCCGCCGACGGCGAGATTTTCACTACGTTTTCACCCCCGAAGTCATGTGGTGGCGATTTCTACCAGTACAAGCGGCTGGTGGAGTTCAAAGGACGGCTGGGACTTTGCGAGCAGTTAGCCAAGGGTGGTTTGAGAGTGTGGGTATTGGCAGACTGCAAGAAGAAAATGTGGGACGATGGACGCATATTGAACCTTGATGGAGCTCTTACCAGGGAGGAACCACTTGCATCTTTTGCAACATTATATAATGCAGATATTGCAGTCCTCAACAGCTATAAATCTACCCTTTTCTATAACTTTCAATCTCACACTTTCCAAGTGGTCAAGCTTCATCATTTGTCCAGTCACATTTTTCCTTTCCGCTCAGATATGGAGTCGGTTGATTTGAAGGGTGCACAATAGTTTTGATCATAATTTGGTGTGTGTGTGTGTATATATATATATGTTGGTGGTAATACTTTCTGTTTTTTTTTTTAATATAATCATATTTTATGTAGGAATGAAAAGATCTATGAGGTTAAGGTGGGTTATAAAATACTCCAAGGTTGCTTATAGAAACTAAGCTAGCGAAGTATAGCATATAATTTCCTCTTGTACTTGAATTGCAAGTGCTCCAAGAAATAAATAGTCCTCTTTTATACTTTTCAATTTTCTGTATCTATCAAATCACTCGCTGAATGAGAATTTTTGTTAGAGTTGAAAGTCACGAATGATATATAATTATTACCAGTGTACATTTGACTATAAAAATTAATTGAGGGTAACAGTTTTTTCACTTGTGGTAAATTTTGAAATTTTGTACTAAATCATAAATTTGGGGAAATTTTATTACACAATGTATCATAATTTTGACATTGAATTTTACATGTGAAAATAATAAAGTTATAAAATGAATGAATACATATTTGATTTAGAACAATATCTAAGACGCCTCAAAATCTCAAAAGCTAATTTTCCATGCCTTTATCAAATATACCTTTTATTTGTGTTCTTCATTTTTCCATTGTTGCATATATAATTGTAAACCTGACTAATTGTAACTTTTGAATTCTCTTGTTATAAATATAGCCCATAGATGTCATTTCATTTAGTGATAAATTCTCCGTGTTCTACATATTGTGTAATAAAATTACAAAATTCCTGATTAATTACTGCAAAATCCAAAACAAATGCAACAAACTTGAAAGGCAAAGAGCAACCCAACCTGACCTTGTAATTTACTCAGAATTAATCCTCGGCATAAAGAGAGCATTTTCTAAGGAGATCTACAACTCCCCTGCCCTCCCTGGATAGAATTCCAACCCTACTGGTTTGGTATGTAACCACTAACAAGTAGTTTCCTCATCGCATTTATTCAACTAGCATTCAATCATTTTTGTCTATTGTTACTAGTTAAATTTATCCATCAGAACACTAAATATGTGTGTCTATACATACATATATGATTTCGTAGGTTCTCATGCATCATGTATGTGTGCATTTTCAATGGTCTTTTGCAGCTTTGCTTCTCAGTTTGTGTAAATCCATTACAGAGCAAAGACAGGAAAGCTTCCTAGCAAGTAGCGTCGACTTTAATATCCTTGTGCAACAATGGCATTTGGGAGGTTCCCAAAATACTTTGCTTCCTTCTCTGAGCAGTGGACATATGGGAGGTCACGGGGTAAATCCAATTACTTTTCTTCTGATGTACTTGGGCTCAGTGACACAGGCACTTGTGATACTGATGGCCGTAGGAGGATGTACAAAGCAGGACCTAAAAATGGAATCAACGATAAGGGAAGGAGCCAAAAACCTTTCTCATACCTGCAAACAGAACAAACATCGAAACAATCTTGCTTATAAATTTCCATTAAAGCGCCGGGGACCCAAAATCTAAATTTAGGAAAAAAGAAGAAGTATATAGTTATCTGGTGTCAGTAAATCCTCACCATTTCCGAGCAGTCATATCATTGTAAACCCAAAAAGGAGCAAATGCTGATAGCAGCGTGAAATCAATGCAGGTGACATGGATCTGCAACATAAAAGAGTGCTCAGAGCCATGATCAAGTTATGTGGAGAGTTTTCCTAAATGTATAATTATCTAAAGTTATGAAGATTAAACGCATGCATGCACAGGCTGACACACACCATATTGCCTCAAGTTCAAGAATTCCAACATCCCAAGTACAAGGGATCAGCAATGTGTATTCTTTTCAAATATTGGGCACTTGCTTAATTGGTGCAGGCTCGTAAGGATTGACAAGTTCATTTTTCTTCCTTCAATACTCATGTTTTAGTAATTGTTAGTTAATTTTGGTCTGATTTAAGGGCCAGGACAAGATTTTAGAAGAATTATAAACGCACTAGAGGCATTGCAATCATCTCTTTTGAAGTTGGTGAATATTCAATTGATAAATTAAGTTGGTGAATATTCAATTGAGAAATTACAGCTCCAAAGCTTTCTTTGAGAACCATAAGTTGTTAGTTTCCTTCACTTTCTTTCTATCCTCTTCCACTTGTTTTTCTTCTTCATTATGCGTTCTTATTCTTTCAAGGGCTTTCTCTTTCTCTTCCTTTTTTCAGTGGACCACAGCTTTGTTATTTGAAGGTAGACAACATATTAACATTAAACAGCTCCCAAAAGCTGTATACTGATTCCAAAACTCTTATCTACTAATTCCTAGAACTACTAGCTAACAACAAAACCTGACTCCTTAATATGATGTCGAAAGCTTGAACTTCCGGTGTCATCATTACATACTCTGGTTAATCACGAAATTTACGCTGACAATATCGTGTGCCTTCCATAGGATCAGGGAATAAATACATGGTTTTTGACATCCAAGTTAGCCCCAATCAAAGTTGATTTATCCTTCAAGTGTAAAAACTTTTCAATTGCTATATATCAGAAATACTAGTGAAGTTATGAGGAGTGCAATCAGAATTTAAAACCTTCGGTAAGACAGGTCATGACCCCACAAAGTGACATGGCAAGATTTGATATCCATCAACATGGAATATATGCATGTGTTAAATTGAAAGTTTTGAATATATATAACCATAACATGTGATGAAAACACTCACAAATTTGCTCTCTCTGAAGTACTGGAAAAATTCTTTCCAGACATCTCCATTAGCTAAACCCGCATAAATGATGATTCCTAGTCCTGCAGCAAGTGATATCTGATGTGTAATTAGTAAATTCACACTCAATAACCAAACAAATAAATGAATCCAGTACACAACAATATTTCTATTTTTAATTTGAGTAAGAGGAAAAAATGATCTCATTAAGCAATGAAGAGTAGAAACACATTATGCCATTTAAGGTGTGTTTAAAAGTGACTTCAAGGATATGCATAATTACTGCAAAATTATTTATTTGTTATATTATTTCTACTAGCCAAAAAGGTGAAAAAACAGTGAGCGCATTTAACGTATGCAAATGATTTCTCCTTCAACCTTCTCCAGAAGCAAGGATTTTTGATGATATAATTTTTTTATATATAAAAAAAGAAAGAAATAAATAAATAAAGAAAAAAAAAAAGAGAGAGAGGTTGATTTTAACTCTACTGAAGGCCTCTCTGGCTATCTTCATAATGACCTGACCTTTTTGCAGAAGGCAGTAACTGCCGACCTGAATCCTTTGGAATTAATTTATGGTGCAATGGATTTAAAGCGTACATTTTAAAAATGATTTAATAGTTAATTCTAATAAATTTAACGCAAAAGTTCAACATAAATGCTTTTATTGAAATTCACATTTAGAGCAACTTTTTTCCAAACACAACCAAATGCATGAGAAACGTCAAGAGCCTGCTTGGTTTGTACCTCTGAAAACAGTTCTCAGAAATTCATAAAACAGAGAACAGTTTTCATATAGCAATAAAAGACTGTTATCTGAAAATAGGCCTTTTTATAACTGAGTTTTCAAAAACTGAACCAAGAGCCTGCTTGGTTTGTAACTCTTAGAACAATTTTTTGTTTTCAAAAAACTGAAAACAGAAAACTGTACAAAAAATTCTCCTTGGTTCAATTTTCTGAAAACTCAGTTATAAAAAGACATGTTTTTAGATAACTATTTTTTATTGTTCTCTGAAAACTGTTTTCTATTTTCTGAATTCTTAAGAAGATGCTCCAATATGATTCTATAACAAACAGAAAAAATGCATTTTTTTTCAAGAGCATAATTACAGTTTAGTTCTTACCCCGGCAGTGAGTTTTGATTCCAGAAAATTTAGAGGCCATCTACCGAGCTCGGCTCCTTCAAGAGGTGGAGGTGGTGGTCTCCAAAGGACAAAATATGGAAGAAGTGCATATACACCTCCGAAGCAGGAGAGCACGAGGAATGGCCAAACAGGAATGCTGCCTCTTGAGCTGTAAAGTTAAATATATTTCATTAATCAAATTAGAAGTACAAAACTTGGTAATTTGGTATGACAGGTTGCGGTTCCAATAATCCCGGACTCCTGTGCTCATGGCACAAATGCTGGGGCTAGGTTGCTTGGCAGCACACATGCATTGTGATATAAAGAAAGAATTTCCTAGAAAAATAAAATGACTTGCTGATAGTCCTATAAAATATATTTTTTGAGCATGTTTAATTTACCAAAAAAGGAGGAAATGAAGTATGGACAATAATGCGATCCAACTGAAAGGTGGAAAGCTTCTGTGGATGTTCTCTTAAATCAGTACAACGTGAGTCCCTGAGATTATGAAAACAAGAAAGAAAGGGCATTTAGAGGTACCTTCTACCTGTCGGAAGCAACAACATACTATACACTAGAGGCCACAAACCCATGATGTACCACAGAGACACCAGCACTTCATTCATCCGAAATCCATCATCTCCTTTCAAATTAAGGAGCTTTTTCAAGAAATACTCGTCTCGTGACTGAAAATGTTCAGGAGTGTTGTTTTATGAAGTTAAAAACTTAAAAAGGACAATAGACGAAATTGAAAAGGTAATTCTAGATTAGATATGCTAAGTCACGACCCAGCTTTGAAACATCCTTTTATAAAGTTGACTCGGTTAGAAAGCCATAACTCTCCAACATTCCTATGTACAATCTCATTGCATTCCACTACAAAGAAAAACTACTAACAATAAAGAGCATAGAGTCATTTTATCCCTATGTCCCATATGCATCCTCATTTTGACCTAATGAAGAAATGCAATATCTTGTACATCACCAGTATTTTCACATAAGTTTGCCGCTAATTCAGTTATTTATATTTTCTTGGTAAGCAGCACTATGAACTCAAAATACTCCGTGTGTTAAATTAAAATATCTGAGAGCACAATCACGCAAGATAACAACTAAAATTAATTGTTTACAATCCAGTCCACTAAGAAGCAGAATTAACAAAACATATAGACCAAACTGTAATCAACTGTAAAGAAGCTTCTACAATTTCACTATAACAATTTTTTTTGATAAGTTACAATTTCACTATAACAATAAGCAGTCAATAATCACTAAAACAACAGCAACAACAAAAATCAAACAGCAGGCAACACAAAAGATGAACTTGTGAATAAAGTGAAACAAGAAACCCATAAAATATTACTCTTTTAACATATATATTGCCATAATTTGAAAGGTCATACATTACCGGGGTTTGGTTGGGTGTTAAATTGAAAACATAGTACATGAGTCCTCCCCACAACAGGAAAATCAAAATTGAGGTTGTCCAGTCCCTGCCCCCTTCACCAGGACCTCCATTGTCACCAAGCTCACTTTCCAAGGAAGCTCCTCTGTTGGAAACAGGGTCTTGTGAATTTTGATTGTTAATTGAATTCTGACAGATTTGGAGGACACCCTTTTTGTGGAATGTAGAGATTATAGTTCTGTGGTTGTAGGGTTCAAGAAAGATAGAAGGAGATGAGGTTCTGAGAAATGAGGTTCTAAGGTTAGGGTTTTGGTTATAAACTCTGAAATTATGATTTTTCACTGGAAAGGAAGAGAAGTTGCAGGAGATGAGGCTGCTGTAGGCTAACATTTTTTTATTGGAGCAAAATTGAATGAAGCTCAGATGCGCCCACACACTATATATCCTGCACAATGTGAACATACGTAAAGACGACGTCGTGCTGGAAGTTCTTTGATGCGAAATTTATATACCGTTGAAAGGACCCACGATTAAGTGGGAAATTTATTGCAAGGGCTCCGTGACTTGTCGTCGTATTAGTGATTATTTCTTTTTCTTTTTTCAATAAAAAATAAAAATAAAAACCAAATGGAGTGTAAATGAATAAAAGGAATAACAACAATAAAAGTGGAGTGCTAATGTCATAATAATCTAGGCTGTCATAAGGGAATAGGAAATACCCCGATGTATCATATTTTTATAAATTATAAGTAAAATGATAATTGTTATACATGGTCTTCTCGTTTTCAATTTAAAGTTATATGCATATATATACTATTCTGGTGTTTAGATTAATCATGTTTTTATTTTTGTTCACTTTTTGCTCTGATAAGTATGAGCAAAGGGGGAAATGATAACACATTTATGTGAGTCCAAATTTTCTAATTGCCAAGTAAACAAAATCAGTACTTTTTTCTCTACAAAAATCATTACTTATATTTAGAAAATTAAGGGGAGAAAATTTATTTTTAATATATACGAGTACTTGAAAGTTGAAACCTCACCTTTTACATAAAAGATAAAGAAGATATTATAAGACTATAATGATCTTGATAATTTAAACTTATATGTCTACTAATGTTCTCTTATTTTTTAAAATAAATTATGTTCTCATTTATGTGTGCCTTCTACTTTGATAAGTAATGATAACATTTTCGAGAGTCCTATTTTTTTTCTTGTGTAATTGTATATAAATGAATAATAAGTAAATATAATATTTAGGAAATAATAAGAAAATAAAATTTTTAATTACTTCCATTTAGAAAAGATAAAAGTGAAAAAAGAAGGTTCCTAACTCACAAAATACTAAGATGGGTCGTGCTCCACCGAGCTCAAAATTAAGTAGGGTTTTAAAATCCAAAAATAATATTTTAAAAGTCATTCCAAACATGCACTTAGTAGTTAGTTCTTACATTTCTAATACCATATAATTCTCCATCTGGTAGGATTTTTTAATTTCAATTCAGTGCATTATTTAGTTTATATATATATTCACGGCAAGAAAATATAAATATTATAAATCAAACAACACAAACAGTACAAACATTGTTAACTTCCTAAAGCAAATCTTCATCAAAGCACCTCTCTACTTTCTCCCTTAGCGCTAAAGTTCCCAAGTTGTGAGCACAATTCCTGCTCTACAGATAAAGAGGGATTTTTGAATATGTTTTTTTCATTGATTTGAGTCTCGGCCTTCACAAAATTATTTAATATATACATACATTTTTAATATATGTACATTATATTATATACTACTTAAAACTTAAAAGTAATTAATTTAATGACATAATAATAATATAATTTCTATAAGTTTCCATTTCAAATTAAACCAACTTTCATTGACTTACTTATTGAACCATTAGTAAAACACAAGTGCAATTGTGAGACTGTAAATTGTAAATGATCAATATGTTGTATATTAATAATTTTACATTATTATTTATTAATATAAATAATATTATAAAACATATATTATTTATTGAAAATAATTCAGTTTTATAATATTACATATTTCCTTCTTTAAATAAATTTCCCACTACTATTTATTATTATTACTATTTTCTTCTACTATATTATTAAATAATTTTTAAAAAATATTATATATTTCCTTCTCTAATTATATTTTCATTTATTGAATTTCTAATTTTGCATGATTATGTATTAATATAAATAATGTTACAAAAACATATTATTTATTAAAATAAATAATATTATAAAATTTGAAAAAAATTATAAAAAATTAAATATAAAAATAATTTTGTATATAGAATTCTTAGTAATTATTAAATAATTTTTTAATATTATATATTTTATTCTCTAATTAGATTTCCATTTATTGAATTTTAGTATTTCCTATAATTATATTGTTATTATTATTAGTATTTCATTCTCTAATTAAATTTCCTTTTATTGAATTAAATAAATAAATTTTTAATATTTTATATTTCCTTCTCAAATTAAAATTTTCTTTATTGAATTTTAGCATTTCCTACTATCATATTATTATTAGTATTTCCTATTACAATATTACTGAATAAATTAATTTATTGAAATATGAAACAGTAAAATAGTGAAACTCTTTGTACTTGTAATAATAATATAGTATAGATATAAATTTAAGTAAAACAAGGGTTTCCTTTAATTTTTAATTCAATAAAATGTAATACGTAAAACTAAAAAAATAAAATCAATTAAAGATTACGGTAGAGATTGGTGAGATTGGTTCGTTTTCAATTTAACACTTTCCCGAATTGGATAGGTTATATTCATTGATATAAAATTTACTTCCTAACTCAAATATATATTTTTTTATTGTAATTATATACAATTTTTTAAGGGCCTTAGTGGTCATCATAGTCAACAATGATGCAAGTATTTTTTTTAAAATTCTAATCAAATATAAATGAGCAAAAGCTCCTTATATGATCTAACTACTAATGTATTAAATGTTGAAGAGAAAAACAATTATGACATTAAAAATATAATTAAGAACAAAAAATTCGATAGACTCGTCTGTAATTTGATTTTAAATATTACTTTTCAAAATTATTAGGGCAAATTACACATACTTTCCTCTTGTTTGTCAAATAACACTAGCATTTCCTAAGATTTGCATCGACTGGATTATTTTCGTTGAGGGCTTTAGTGGTCATCATAGTCGACAATGATGCAAGCATTTTTTAAAATTAAACTTTCAATAGTACCCTTTTCATTACCCTTCTTGACAAATGAAAATACATCAACACCCTTCAACGTTTATATTAACTATTACTTAAAGTTTTATGTCTGCAACTCACTGTTTAGTCTTTAGTTACACCTTATTAAGTCTTTTTTGGAGAAATTTACTATTAATTTGTTTTGGTAAAAAAATTGATTATTTACCAAATTCCAAGATTTAAAAAATAAATAAAATATTGAGATAGTTCCGTAGAATATATATATATATATATATATATATATATATATATATATATATAAAAGTGAATGTCAGAATATAATTGTATACTAAAAATTTTTGGCAGAAGATATTAGCAAGGAATGTGGTCTAAGATAATAGGAAAAAAAAAAAAAAAAATACATCTACAAACCAATCTTATTCGGCCAAAACACCGAAGAAGATGAAGGTTGGTAGGACTACCTCTTGCTAATGTGTAAAAACAAGCAATTTCTTTATCTCTGTAAATCAAGTCAAGAAATCATGCTGTGGGTTTAAAGGCTTAACATGAATTTTTTATGTTTCAACATCATTGAGTAGTTCAAAATCCTCGAATTAACATGTTGAGATATTTACCACCACCAAAATTCAAGCTATATATACTAGCTGTGTTTGCTTTTGTCTCAAAATGATGTACAAAATAAATGAAATATATACTTTTGGTGAAAAGAGGAGATGAAGATGGAAAGGAGGAGTCAACGAGTTTAATGGTTGGTGAAAAGTAATATATATATATATATATTTTTTCTCTGACTTGAAAAGTAATAATAAATATAGATGGGCATTTTTGTCTTTGAAATTTTGAAATAAAAAATAATATATATAATAAGGACAGAAATGTAATTACACAATAATAGTTAGCACTATCTAATTTACCGTTAGGTGAAGCCAGTATAATTTAACAAACAAAATGAGAGGTCTTTGAATATTAACGAAGCCTTAAGATGTAATTTATTCAAATTATTATTATTATTATTTTAATCTTTTATTTTCCTCTATTTGGAAGTAGGGTATTTCATTGAAAGGAAACAATTCCATGGTGAATGATTTCGAAAGTTGAGCCTATGTAACCGAACAACCTAACTGAACTACTAAGATGAAATGTTTTTTTTCACAAAATTCATTTTCATTACGATTTCATTGGAATTAAATTTGAAGAGGGATTTCACTTGGGGCGAGTCTGGTAGAATAGAAATGAAAGAAAAGTAAAAGAAAAGAATGGTTATGGAAGGATATAAAAAAAATGTGTTTAGTAAAAAAATGTTGGATGAAAAGGAATGGAAAATGAAGTATTTGGAAGGATAGAAAAATGCATGAATAGTAATTTTTGTTATCCTCAAAAATAAAAAAAGAGAGGAACTGGAAATAAAGGGAAGGAAAGACTAATATTTTTAATAAAATTTTTCTAATACCAAATTTACCCTTACAAGGTAGGATTTTAAAAGTTAATGAAATTTGAGGGGATTTTAAAAGAAATATTATAAGGTTATGAAATTTTTTTTAAAAAAATAGAATTTGGAAAGCAAGTATTTGTCTACCAAAATGATAAAGTCTGTGTCATGTCTCTCATCCTAAAACGGTATCAAATAAATTTTGTTTTTTCAAATTTCCTTTTATAAATTTCAATTTATTAAAAATGAGTAAATAAAATTCTATTTTAGTACAATTCATTTACTTTTCCAATCCTAATTTCAAAATCCAACGAATTTTATTTTATTACGTGTAGTTTGCACAGAGAAATAACTAAAGCCTCCCGTCAAAAGCAAACGAGAGGTGCAACGGTTAAAGTGGCATCACTCCGCCGCACGTTTTTTCACACTCAATTCACAACATCTCTGTTTTTTTTTTATTTAATCTTGTTTTTGGGTAAGAACAAAAGTCCTTGTCTTTCATAACTTCTTCACCAAATCGCAACCTGTGTGGCTGTTTGGATTCCGAGAAAGGGTACGGTTTCGGGTAAAAATTCCAGTTTGCTGTAGAGTTTTGCCCTCAAGTTTGAAAAAGACGAATGGAAGGTGCGATGTCATTAAGCGCAAAACCTAGGGTTTCGTTTCAGACCGGTCCATCCTTCAATCCGAGACCCAAATTCACTCCATCTCGGAACTCAATTTCAATTCCAAGGACTTCAATGGCCGGACATAGACCCTGTATTCGAGCTCAACAGGTGATTTGACCACCTCTCTATTGAACCTCTACTCAGTTTCTTAGTCTATTTTTCATATTCATTGTTTACTTGTGTGTATAAACACACTGTATTTGTGTATATGTTTAAGCTTGAAAATTGTGATTATATATATATATATATATATATTGAATTTGAAATAATCCCCGGTTGTTTTTAGAAATAATGCTACTCTATTTTCATCCTTCACAATGAACTTTTTAGAAGTACCTTTTTAAAAGAATATTTTGTTATGTAAGTTTGAAGTGCTGAGATGAAGTTATTTTAAATTTTAATAATGCAATTTGGAATTTTGGCTTTTAAAAGGATGGGTTAGGTATTTTGAAGAGTTGGTTATATATTATGTGTTTGACTTTTATTAAAATCAAATCGTTGCTTAATCTTAAAGTTGGATGGGAAGATATAATCTACACTGAAAGATGTGTCTTCTTGTTAAAACTTGTTAAAAAGGAATGACTCCATAACGAGTTTTAGTTTGATTACCAGAAGCATATAAATAGTTTTTTTGACAAAGCAAGTACTAAAAACATGAAATAGTATAGAATAAGGATAAGGAAGTCTCAATTAATATATATTCTGATTGTTTTTATAGTCTGATGCAACGCTGTCCTCGGTTAGTGATTCTGAACCAAATGCACTCAAAATCAAGGAGTGGGAAGTGGGGAAGTTTCAGGATGAAATAGCTGCTAGCCAGGGCATCAGAATCAGGAGACGTCCACCAACTGGACCTCCATTGCATTATGTTGGTCCTTTTGAGTTCCGTTTACAGAATGAGGGCAACACTCCTCGTAACATACTGGAGGAAATAGTATGGAATAAGGATAAGGAACTCTCACAGGTACTGTCTTACTTGATACCGAATATGGTTTTTTTAGTCTTGTTTATTGATTAATTGATAATGGTCATATAATTTTCTTTCGTTTTTTTTTTTGGTTAGATTAAAGAGAGAAAACCTCTTTATTCGCTGAAGAAAGGTCTTGAGACTGCTCCTCCTACTAGAGATTTTATTGGAGCTCTTAGGGCAGCAAACATAAGAACTGGATTGCCTGGATTAATTGCTGAAGTGAAAAAGGCTTCTCCAAGTAGAGGAGTGCTAAGAGAAGACTTTGATCCTGTGAGTTTGCATTTTTCCCTCCTCTATTATGCCTACATTATGTTTGTATATTTTTATAGGCACAAATTTTAGATATCTCAAACATTATTTTCATGATTGACTAACTTTATTGAGGGGGAAAGAGGGATTTGCTCATTTAAAACATCAAAGCATTATATTATGTGATGTCTTGTTTATAAGAATAAATAGACGTGTGACAATTGTATATTTTCTCATTTATTCTTCTATTCTCCACGGCTGATAAGTATCTTAACCACTAGCATCAATGCATCTTAGGTCATTTCTGATGTCTTGTTCTATGATTTTTATAGACTTCGGATGTACTTCATGCCCTTGGCTTCTAATATGACAAGAGTGCCTATTTGTAAATTTTAAAAGTTGAAAGGACATTTCCTATAAACTATTTATCAGAATGCCCTGCGGACAGTTTTAGCTTGGTGCATGTAATCTCTAGTCTATTTAATGTGATGACAAACCGTATCTGCTCTGCATTCATGGTGAAACTAACATCCAATGGACTCGTTCGGTAAGTCTTTTAAGTGATGAAACTAATTCCAGTGTCTTATTTTCCCAAAAATTGCATTTTAGACAAGTATCTCGGCAGAGATGGATAATTCTATCAACTTCTCTTGTGTAATGGACTAAAAATGTTATTAGTCTAAGACCATATGTTTAGTATGTATATGTGAACAGGAAGAAGAACGCTTGATCTGTTACCTTTTACTGTGTTTTTTATATATTACTTTGATCATTCTCGGTATTCTTGTTCCTGGCCAGAAAGGGCGTCCAACAAGAAATGACCAGCATTCTCAGAGACTGAATTTGTTGTTTCGCCTAGTACTTGATATTATTCTTATTTTTTAATTTATCCCAAATGAGTTCATTAACTTTCTGAATGTCTCTTGTGAAAGGTTGAAATTGCCCAAGCTTATGAGAAAGGTGGAGCTGCATGCCTCAGTGTTTTGACAGATGAAAAGTATTTCCAGGTTAGCCTTTCAGTTTTTCATTTCTTTATTGACTTTGTTGCTTCCGGGGTTTATAAAATAGTGTGGAAGTTGGGAAATTGATGCTGAAATTAATTTTGCACCGCTAATTACCTTTTAACTATCTTTTGTATAAAATAATTTAGGGGAGCTTTGAAAATCTGGAGGCCATACGGAATGCTGGAGTAAAGGTCAGCTTTTTAAGGCCCTATTGCTAAAACGACGTCTTACTCACGTGCTTTTTATTTGTTACTTTTACTCATATTCTAACACAATCTGGATATGCAGTGTCCACTGTTATGTAAAGAGTTCATCGTAGATGCATGGCAGATCTACTATGCTCGAACTAAAGGTGCTGATGCAATTCTGCTAATTGCTGGTGTTTTACCAGATCTTGACATCAAATATATGACCAAGATTTGTAAGATTCTTGGGTTGACAGCACTTGTTGAGGTTCGTGAATAGTGCTTTCTTCATTGTTGTGCTGGTATTGATTTAACTGGTAGTTTGAGCCATTATGTTGCTTTAATGGCATGAAAGTTGATTATTTTATTAAAGACCTATTTTTAAAAGTTTGTTTCAACTCTTAACTGGTTTTGCACAAGGAATCTTTTCCAACTTTCTTCAACTATTCCCGTAAGCCTTTCCTAATTACGTGTTGCTCGCATTGCAACCATTGTTTTATTTTAATTTTTTAATTTACTGTCCAACTTAAGACAGAAAAGTTCTTGTCTGAATCAAAAAGTTGTAAACTTTTGTATATGGAATTATGGATGTCAGTTGCCTTTTGTTGTTTTAATTTTGGCATTTTAAAATTTGTTGTAGCACAAATTATTCAATTGCCAGTTTTTCTGCATACAATAAAGGTTGAGTTGTGGATGTGTAAATTTGTTCTTCACTTCCCTTCTCATTCTCAATCCTAATTCCATTAGAATCTTACTAGTTTCTAGTTGAAACTAAAATTTAAACATCTGGATAATAAACTGTTTCATTTTTGCTTTTCCTTTTCTGTTCTTTATTTCTCAAGGTACACGATGAGAGAGAAATGGACCGTGTTCTTGGAATAGAAGAGGTTGAACTTATTGGGATCAACAATCGCAACCTTGGTATTTTTCAACTCCTATAAAACTATGTTTACTTCAGGGACTTATTCAAGTTTAGCCCTTGTGATTGCGTATCACATTTTTATTTCTTTATATTCATGTAGCTTTACTTTAAATTGGTTAAAGTTATGTGCTTCAGGAATATTTTTTTATGTATTTGCACCATTTGCTAGCATAAAAGATACAATTTGCTTGGAGATGCAAAATGCTGGTAGCTCTGAATTGCTCCCACATTATTTTCCACCGACTTTTTTTCAAACATATCCTGCCTTCCTTCTATTTGAAAACCTGACATACAATTTTGCTCATATAAGATAGCACATAGTTATCTGTAATATACATGGAGGCTAATAGTAAAAATAGTAGTATTTACCCTTCTTCAACAATAGTAGTATTTACCCTTCTTCAACAATAGTAAATTTTATGGCCTAACAACTTCTAATTTGCTTGTCCACAGAAACATTTGAGGTTGATATTAGTAACACAAGGAAGCTTCTTGAAGGAGAGCGCGGGCAAATAATCCGTGAAAGGGATATAATGGTTAGCGAGGCTGTTACCGGCCCTATACTTACTGATAAACTATACCTTATTTTTGTAGATGTTGGTGCCCATGGTGAGAAGGAAGGATGCTTATGGTTTGTTTTGCTCTAACAAACTATGTTTTTTCTTCTCCTTTTTTTTTTTTTTTGGACTCTTCAGGTGGTTGGGGAGTCGGGACTCTTTACTCCTGCTGATATTGCTTACGTACAAGAATCCGGTGTTAGAGCGGTAAGCTCTGCTAATCCTTGTATCCACACAGTTGCATGAATATCTAAGTTTAAAGGTGCATTACGTTCACATATGTTTCAGTCATTTGATTACGGGAACACTGTTTTGAGAATATAGACATCCCATTAGTCAGATAATCCTACTTTTTATCAAAACATGTTTTCATCGCGCACTTTCACCCCTTTTATATTATATTGGCAGCAACGAAGCAGGGAAAAATGAAAGGTCTGTTTATCGACTGAGATGGGAATATGTTTCACAAAAACAAATTCAATCATGCGGGATGTGCACCATCTTTGTTGCATTAAACATCTTGGAATCAAATGCTTGCATGCTAAAACAATTATATGTTTTAATATCAAAATTTTCGGAGGAGTAACTTGATTGTACTTTTCCAGCAAGTTTAGTACGGTTACATTTATATATTTATTAGTCTACGCTCACATGATAATGATATCACATATTGTTGTGCGCTTGTAGGTATTGGTTGGAGAGTCGATTGTGAAACAGAGCAATCCTACCAAGGGAATAGCTGAGCTTTTTGGGAAAGATATTTCTTCATAAGCAGCTCCATTTTGGGATTTTCTATAGCCCCCTTCATCTTGAGTGGCTAGCAAGTTGACCTAGACAGGTCCTTCTGCAGTTTTGTATCGTTCTCGTAGCCCCTTTGGGTTTTACTTATTTTATAGTCGTGTGTCTAAAGTACTTGTCAAACAAAAGAAATAAAAAAAATGTTCTATGCCTAAAGTGTGCGGCAATGAATTATTATTGTATCTGAAAAAAAATGCTTATGTATTCAAATAATCGATAAAAGTCGTTTTTTGGTATCCATTATCAAATAATTTTTGTCGCTCAACTGACAGCTATCAAGTTTATGATGAATAGCCACCAAAAGTCCAATAGCCAAATAATAGAGAGGAATGTTGTTATCCCACTTTCTTATTTGGCCAAAATAATAATAAATTTGGCCAAAAGAAGATTTCTTTAATTTTTATTTTTATTTTTTGATAAGAATAGAAGGAGAAAAGAAGCAAATGTTTTTTTTTTTTTTTTCTTCTTTCTAGCAAAGGAATAATTTGTGATGGACAGACCCGATGAAAGGCACTGCAATTTTGCCTAGCCAGATCGGTTTGATATAACCCCACACTGTTATATAACCCTCGTCAGTCAGTAGGCTTTTATTATTTTTAATGTGTTTTGGCTGCTCTTCAATGAACTTCCAATCTTTTTGGATTGCTATTTATTTTGTTATCCAAATAATTAATGGATTAAGGTCCACAATAAAAATAAAAAAAATTGTATAACAACGTATATATGTATTTTTTTTAACAAAAAATTTAAATATTATAGACTTACTCTGTAAGATGAGCAAATATGACTACCTACAATCCTAGTGTACAATGAAAATGATAATCATTTAAAATTATTACTCGCGTATATATACAATAAAAATCAAAAGACATAAATTTATAAAAAGGTCAGTTCGAAATTCATGTTCACATCTCAACAGAAAGCTAACCTATACTAAGATTGTTAATTTTTAATCCAAATTCAACTCTAATTATAAAAATGTTCAAATTATAATTGTGTTAAACTGAAAAAATTGGGTTAACCTGCTCAAATTGCACACTTGCGTTCAGGTGAGTTTGCCTTGCATTATTTTTCGGTGTAAAAAAATGTACAGCTTAGCACTACTACAACAAGGCTTACAACAGAGGATCCGGGCCCGCCCTTGCTAACGTTGTTACCATCAATCTATCAGGTGAAAAGTTGAAACTAAAAGTTAAAACTGATGTTGTTGTGACTTGTAAGTTGTTACTTAGATCTCTCATAAAGTCGTTAATCATTTTGTCCTCTGTCTTCTCAAAATTTAAGGTGGTAATTCATTCAGTTTGATCTCTCAGCTTGTCATGAATTTTAGAAACACTAATCATACCCAAAATAAGTCTCTCTCTGTCTCTCTCATAAATGTTAAAGAACATGAATCATGACCAAAATTCTGTTAAAACATGCGGGATCAAAATAAGTTTCTAATTGTTTTTCACATTTTTCAATTAAAAATTCTAAGATATGCTTCAGCATTGTATATATAATACAATGTATTGATCTATATATGTTGAATTGGTACAGATGGGAATTTGGTCATTGCAATGTGTAATTATTGTAACGTTGTTGCTTTTGTCGATCCTACAAGAGACATTGGGGCTTAGGTTTGCAATTAACAAAGAAGAATGTTTCTCTTATGATGTTCTATACGAAGGCGACACAGTTCATGTTTCTTTTGTTGTCATTAGGGCTGAAACATCGTGGCATTATGATGATGAAGTTGTTGATCTTGTGGTAATTATTTTCACTTCTACGCTTATATAAATTTTTTTTCCCCCTTTCATATCGACATGATTGTGTTGTGTTTTTCTCATTTTTAGTTGCCGCATAAATTTTATGCCTATTCTGTTTTATCATAAGCTCAGTCCGAGAGAGAACATGCAAAAAAAAAAAAAAAAAAAAAAAAAAAAAAAAAAAAAAAGTGGAATTACATTGATGGGGTTTGGGAGCATCGAATTGACAATATTGGAATTAGAAAAAAATTTAGTTCCAAGACATTAATTCGGTGCTCTCAAACATAGTTTAAAGATATTCCTGTTTTAGCATTTTGACACACCAAGACAGGACATTTTCTAGTTAAGTTTGAATATTTGTTATGCTAGTATTTTTTTCCTCTCTTTTTTGGTTTTGTATTTTATTCTTGTTACTACAATTATAGTGAAGTAGGTAGAAAATAAAAGGTGAATTGCAAGGAATGTATTCACTGCTGATCTATTTATGTGCGTAGAAAACATACTATTAGTTCCAGATTTTGATCCTCTTGAACTGTACTACTAGTGTTTGATCTAGGGAATTTAGCATTAAAATCCCATAATAATTGTGTTGAAATGATCAGATAAAGGGGCCTTCTGGTGAGCAGATTCACGATTTCCGGGACAAGGCGAGTGAGAAGTATGAATTTGTGGTTCACAAGAAAGGCCTCCACTATTTCTGCTTCACTAACAAGTCTCCTTTTCAAGAAACCCTAGACTTTGACGTGCATATTGGCCATTTTGCATACTTTGATGTGCACGCAAAGGATGGTAAGAAATCCTCGATCTCCCAGTTCAAAAATAAAAGAATGGAGATTGAGATTGATTATATATGTGAATGAATGCAGAACATTTCAACCCTTTGTTGGAAGAGATCACAAAGTTAGAGGAAGCTCTTTACAACATCCAGTTTGAACAGCATTGGATAGAGGCTCAGACTGACCGCCAGGCAATAGGTATTATATGTATATATATAATTCTCTGACACTCTCTTGCTTGGATGTTGATTCAAAGTCAGTGCATAAATGTGAGAATTAATAATGAATGTAGCAAGTTCATTAATCTTAGAATTCATATGTTTTTGTGGAGTGGAGTGCAGTGAATGAAGCAATGAGTCAGAGAGCCATCCACAAGGCAATGTGTGAATCAGCAGTACTCATCGGAGCTAGTGTCCTCCAAGTCTACCTACTGAAACGCCTCTTTGAAAGAAAGCTTGGGACATCCAGAGTTTAGATTCTTTTGCTACATCTACACACTCGATATCTGCGTCGAGAGTGAAAGCTTTTGTAAGTTTAAAAATGACTTTCTATTATACAAGTTTTATGGTTTCCCATATAGCATTATCTCCTGCTTTGTTACATTTTCTTTCTTCTTTTTGTTCGATAATTTTTATACTTTGCGTCAAGAGTTGGGTAGAATCCACATCATTCACTAAATAGTTATAATTGATATGGTAACACTCCAATGACAACAATTACAATCATATCATTGATCATCATATATTAAATGATGATTATGCATTGAGGCAGCCCGCCGGAGAGGGAGGTGGAGAGAGAGAGAGAGAGGGTACTGAAATATATATTTCCTACTGGATCTAACTTCAATGGCGACGAGATTTTCATCCTTTAGAAGAGCCCACCCTCATATCTGACCTGCAATATAGACAACTATCGGTCATCAGATCATAAACAGATTAGCAACTTCAAAGCTATATTAAGTGTGCAAGTAGATTTTATCCTCCATGTGACACCCAAAAAGCTTTATAAATGTCTCTTAAATCACCTTTTTAAAAAAATGGCCATTACAATTTAGCTCTTGTCTTCGCCATCATCCTTGCCTTGGTAATAATTAAATATTCAAATGGGTCGTTACTTGAATATATACTCTTTCTCCACTCTTTTCTATTAGTTTCTTAAGGTATTCTCTTATTAGATCTACTATCGATCTGCCTAGTCAAAACATTCTACTGTGTAAGATATCTGGCCGAGTAACAGTCCGTAAATTATTTCTTTAAACACAACTTGTTTCATATATTTTTTTTTTTTTGTTAAAACTTGTTTCATATTCTCTTATCGCATGTGATCTCCATTCTAAATCCTTTTCTGTTGTTATTGTCATCTATCTGCCCGACTCTTTTATCTCTGCAAAATTTTTCAATCTACTTGGTAGAGACCTCCTCCCCAAGAGTTTCCAAGATCTGAAATTCATTCTTGTTTGTTTCCAAGAATTCATTTCTTGAAGAGAAAATGAGATACCAGTTGCAGATAGCTACAAGTATGGTTAACTCTCTGCATTTTACGGTCAAATGGTAACATGGTTCTTGTATTATAGGAAAAAAAAATTTAATTCCTGCTATGACCATGCTCAGCTGACTGGGAAAAACATCAGGTTCGTGCATATTAGCAATCAAAACAATGATTTTCTATCAGGAAATGACTCCCATTGACAAAAATGGATGTGCCTAATTTCTGAAAGAGAACTCCTGTTTGTCCCAATTATCTTAACAGTTACCACTACATGATGATCACTAAAAACTTGTTCTGCGTGATACACCTAATAGCATTATGTTTCCCTTTTTCTTTCTTTTCCCCTTAGAATTGAGTTCTCTCACCACAAACAGATCCAGAAGGAAACAAATGACTGATAGTTGCAAGAAATGAATCTGAACTGATTGCACCCTTCATGAGACTTACCGCAAATAAGACAGGCTTATAAAAGCTCTATGACAAGGGCTGATGCACCCCCGCCCCCATTGCATACACCACCAACTCCATATTTCCCATTCTTCTGCCTCAGTACCTGCAAGATTACACTGACTAAGACAAAGCCAAATACAATGCTAGGTAACAGAAAATGCAGTAAGATTAATCAACTTGATATAGGCCCGCCAAATAAACTGGTCAACCTGTCAAAAAGATGTTATGACAGAAAACTTTGAAGCTAGAGAGAGAGAGAGAGAGAGGAAAACTTTGACACTCTTGTTTATACCAGAATCAAAATCAGTAAATACTGCTTAGAAAATGTAACCCTGTAGAAACATACCCCCAAAAGTGTGACCAATATGCGAGCTCCGCTGCAACCTAGAGGATGTCCCAAAGATACAGCTCCACCATGTATGTTAACTTTTTCCTGCAAGAAAAATAAGGTATTAATCCTCAAGCCAATAGAAAATGAAGGAGATGACAGAGAGAATGAAAGCTTTGAACAACCATTCTAAGTCATAAAACCCATAGAAGGTAATTTGGTCACGGCTTGAAAGTGCCCAAACATGCACACGCAGAAAACAAACAGAAACACACCCAAACGGGTCTAGGTTTGCGAACTCACTGGATTAAGTCCAAGAAGTTTTTGATTAGCAAGTGCCACAACCTGCACGTCATTTGGTGAAATAAATTTGGTAAGGTCAGACAAATAAATGATTAGTTACTAAAAATAAGTTAGGCATGCAAGCTTACTGCAAAGGCTTCATTTATTTCATAGTAATCAACTTGAGAAGCGTCCAACCCGGCATTTGAAATAGCTTTTGGGATTGCGAGAGCCGGAGCAGTTGTAAATAATTCTGGAGCCTGCACAATCAATCTCATGTTGAGCACCTAGAACTTGAAACTTGAAGATAATAGGAGTTGAATCAGGTATTCTATAAAATAACAATTTCTTTGTTTTCATGTACCTGAGCGGCATCCGCATATCCTGTGATCTTTGCAATCACTTCCAGCCCAAGCTTGAGTGCCTTCTCCCCACTCACTAAGACTAGTGCAGCAGCACCATCACTGTCAATTGGAGCAATTTACTTCACAGTATAAACTTGAGCTCATTTCTTTATAAGACTTGCGCTATGAAATTTATTACATATTGTAACACTTCATGATTTATAAAAATGGAACAATTATATCTAGAATTGAACTCAAGGGATATAACTAGCATTCAAAAGAAATTTAAGTCCAAGAAAAAAGTCTAAGCATTTTATTGGAAGGATTTGAAAATAATATAATGGAAAGAACAGTGTGGTACCAATCATGATGATTTTACAATCAATGTTCTACATCAAATCACTAAGATGCCCATACAGAAGTTCAAATTGAGGTTAACCCGCTAGTGTAGCAATTCCAAGTGAAGTTTAGCAAAATCAATGGTAGGATTTAGAACTTGCATTTATCACAGAAAACAACAATCTAAACAGAGTGACATTAAGTTCTATGAATGATAATGCAGCCATCATTTAGACAAGTAAATGAAGATGACAGCAAAATGAAGGATCAGAAGAAATAAGATAACAAACCTTATATTAGAAGCATTGCCAGCAGTAACAGAACCACCACTCTCTTTAAAACTTGGTCGGAGCTTCCTCAATTTTGCAGCATCAAACTGGCAAAACACAATAGCAACAAATAATATTATTATTAATGTCATTAATGTACCAACTACCAAGGCAGGTAATGTTGACTGATCCACATATATTTATTTACTTATTTTCCTGATAGGTGCCTTACTTGTGGTGATGCTCAAGCTGTCAAACACAACAGAGTGGGTCAAAGTCTAAAGGCGACCACTCTGCCAAAAGTTACCTCCTAACTCAGTCTACCACTTGATCAACCCTGATTAACGAGGCCTTTCATTTTACATACAAGAAAGAATGAATCTACATAGGCAACTTATTCATAATGGTAGAGGACAATGTACACAAACATGCAACATAAATAAATATATTTTTTGATAAGTAACAATATCTAAGAATATATGAAATAAAAATATTCACCTTTCCTAGTCCATCATCCTTGTCAACAATTGTTGATGGTTTTCCTCTTCCCCCAGAAACTTCAACCTGCATGATATCCAATTATGGTTTATAATGGTGATTTACAATAGATCACAATGGTTCCATCTGTTATTTAAAGACTGTTTGCCTGACCGGAACTATTTCCCATGCAAAGGCACCACCTTCTTGAGCAGCAATACCACGCTCAAAGCTCTGAATGGCATAATTATCCTGCATTAATTATAACAGACATAAGTTGCAAAACTACAATGTATGATGATTTTTGTAGGTGAAGTCAAAATAATGTTGTATTGTGAAGCTCGGGTAGATTACTATTGTTTGCTAAGCAAAACTCCCTGGAAATTATGAGAACGGAAGTAATAATGAAAAGATTTATAAACCAAAAATTTTAAACAATATCGTTTCCATGTCATTTGTCCAAGATGAAGAAAACAGGAAACTTAATGCAGTATATGGAACTCTCTTACGGGCTACTTGGACTTTTTAATTTTTAATTTTTTTCTTCTTTCCAGAAATCAACAGGAGGGGTTTACGGCGAAACCTGCTCCTCTCTTGATACTGCATGTTGATCAGCACATAATTCAGCACAAACTCCCATGCCAAAATCATTATAAGCATCCCACAACCCATCTTTCAACATTCCATCAACAAGAGAATCATGTCCAAGTCGAGATCCCTTCCTGCAATAAAGTAGAAAATTAGTGCAGTTTGTCACACTGTTCATCCTGAAGCAATATACGCTAACTAAAATTGTGTATTCAAAGGTGCACTAATGATGCATATACCTAACTCCTCAATATCAGTATGGATTTCTAAATATGGAAATAACTAAAAGCCTTTACATGAGCCACAATTAGGAACCCTGTAAAGCGATAATTAGAAACCTATGGGACGCTCCAATGGAGCATGGGTGTCAATAATAATATTTATAAAGTATTGGAATCATTATACATAAAAAAAACATTAGTATTACTGTTTCAGAGACATGGCATGTTAGAGGAGATGCTAATTAATAAAAATCACCCCATTATATGAATTGTGTTACCTTCAAAAATGTGCGAGCAATGTTCATTAAGCTTATAATATCATGTTCTGAAAACATTATATTAAGTACTCGCACAGGGCGTACCCAGTGATATACTATAATGTTGAAGATTAAATAAATTAGAAGGGTATATACAAGAATCTATGGAGTGGTATTCTGACACATGTTCAGTGTCGTTTGACATGCATACTTGGATTAATATATATTAATCTCTCATTAATCAGATGGGAACATTAACCTTGCTTCCGCCAGGTATTTAGGCACGTTGGACATGCTTTCCATGCCACCAGCCACAACGACGTCATTGATGCCCAACTGAATACTTTGAGCAGCAAGCATTGTTGCTGCAATAACCAAAATAAAGAAGCAAGATGTTATACCTCACTAACATCAAGTATCTTATCCTAGAAAATGATAAAATATAAAGAAGCAAGCACCTTTCATTCCTGATGCACAGACTTTGTTGATGGTGGTGCAGACAACTGTATTAGGAATTCCTGCACCCAATGCTGCTTGCCTTGCAGGAGCCTGTCCTAAATTTGCACTGAGAACATTCCCAAAAAAAACTTCTTGTACAAGTGACGGGTCAACAGTTGCCCTTTTAAGAGCACCTGCAAGTTTACATGAAAGGGCATTTTTAAAGAAAAGAAGAAAGATATCTGGATCAACAGATAAACCCCATCATTGAAACAGAAGAAAAGAAGATGGTGCACTTACTTTCAATAGCTAAAGATCCAAGCTTGGTGGCTGGCAATGATGAAAGAGAACCAAGAAAGCCACCCATTGGTGTACGTGCAACACCAACAATACAAACATCTGTACAAAATAAATAAATAAATTGGACTAGCCATCAACCTACTTTTTGTTTTCATTTTATTTGTTTATTAATTTATTTTTTATATCATTGACAAACGATGAAAATTGCAGCGATTCGAAAATTTGAAATGCTTAAATAACTGGTAAGCAGAAAACTAGCCTAGGAAAAAACTGCTGTATTCAAATAGACAAGGAAAAGGAAGCAGCTAATCTAAAATAACCAAAGTTTTCATTCAGTGGATCTTGTGCAAGAGATGAGTTACAAAGGACATACTGAAACATTGAAAGACAATAATCATTTCTTCAAATTCTAAGACGAACCTATAGAAATATTTTAACATATTTTATATGTATAATTCATATACCTCTGTAGATATCATTAAGTAATATTAGCTTGATATATGTATAGCAAATTAATTTTAGCTTAAGTTCATGAGCTTGGAGTAAAAAAAATTCTTTTTAACAATTGGTAACACAATATATATGAGTTACAATTATTTTTAACAATTAGTAACATTTCACCAAAGGGCCTTTGATCCAATGGTATAACCACCCTATCCTCAAAGAGGAGGGGAGGGGTTCAAGCCCGAGCGTGGGCAAAAGGGTGTGTGTGTTTGCTTTAACATTAAAAAAAAAAAAACACAATTAGTAACATTCCAACTACAAGGAAGTTATTGGATGAAATGAAAATGGTTTGATTCCAAGTATAATTCTTTAATAAAAACTACTGAAACTACTATTTTCAATCCCACAATATATATGTAAGTTAGAATCAGTACATTTCAGGTACAGCCAAACAATGGAATGTAATGAAAATGGTTGATTCTAAGCAAAAACTACTATCTTTGAAGTTTGAATATGATATTGGAAAAAACACACAAGTAAATTATCAGCTATTGACACCGCATGAATGATGAAACCACCAGAACTTTTTAGACTAATAAAAATAGACCAGATACGGCACCTCTAGGCTTTATAGAATCCGAAGATGCTGCTGCTGGTGGAGCCATTATTATGTATAGAAAATAGATACCTGTACAATTCAGAAAACCGCTTAGATTTTGATTTCAGAACAAAATAATAAGAACAAAGTGATTTTGGTTTCAGAACAAGATAACAAAAACAGAGTAGGTAAGCCCAAGCAGAACATGTGACCCATGAAAGAGCAAGACTCAATGCCTAAAATACACTCCATGGCAAAAGCATGAAGTGCTTTTGACTTTTAATACAGAAAAATATATCAACGAACAATCTTCTTACTCGATCAGTAACTCTCCTCTTGGCTCTCCTAAGAGACAGAGAAAGAAAGACCCTTTCCGGGCATTTTCTCATCTTTCCTTTTAATTTTCACGAGGACCAAACAGAAAATCAACAATAAATTTCTGTTCTTTTGAAAAATAATAGCACACTCAAGGCACAAACACAAAGTGTGCAAAATAGAGAAAACCAGTAAAAGATTTATCTGAGAGTTGGAAAGGAACAGAGTTAGTTAATTGGATCCAACATCGTCAAATAGGACAAAAGATACATTTTAATATCTAATTGAAAGAAAAAGAAGTAAAATTTGATAAATCCAAAGCTCCGCAAACTTAGATCAGGAGAAATGCCGAGAAAGTAGAAAGAAAATGCGGGAAAATGAACAAATAACGGAAACTAAAAAATTAAGCTTAAAGATCAAGATAGACATAATACCTCTCTCAGTGGAAATTCAGAGTTTGATCAATAGCTGAGCGCTAGAGAGAGGTGTTAAACAGCAAATCGAACCAAGGTGCAATATATAGAGAGATGGTAGAGGTGGAACCAAGTTACGGAAAAATCCTACAATGCCGATTTTATTGACCGGAGTATCATATTTAATGGTTGTTAATAATATTAATTTAAGATTGAAAATTTAGCAAGATGGAATTAAAAACACAAAAAAACCAAAAATTTGTGTGAGGCCGTCACACACACACCCACATTAAAAATATATATATATATTAATAAGTAAAAACGTTGTTTGACCTGAAATAAATGTCAATGTCTTTCTATTTAATTTGGAATGTCTCAAAATTATATTTTCCTTAAATGAAAACTTCTTGGGGGTAGTTTTGACAACAAAAAAAAAAAAAAAAACCATGCATTTAATGTGTAATCCTTGATGGTGCTGAAGCACTTACATTAAATTCGATGAAACAAGATGTAAAGAGGAATCCTAGATAAAACTTTCACTCTCTTTTAAAACATTGTGGTTTGAAATGTTTAATTTGAATCCAATTATTAATTTTTATTATGGTGTAGTGTTGCCAAAAAATAATAATAATAAATTTACAATTTGATGTGTTTGTGTGTGTGTGTTTTTTTTTTATTTATTATTTTATAATTATTGAGAAGAAACTTTACATACTCTGTTTATTCAGTGAATTAAATCATCTCCTTCTATTTTCCAAAATATAAGAAATATCATAAGATTATCCAGCCTTTGGGTACAATTCAATACACTTGAGAAGATAAATTTAATTATGAAAATATAAAAATATTCAATGTTATATTTATATTCACTCTATCATTCTTATATTTCGTTTTACATGAAATCTAAATATAAAAACACAGTACTTGAGCAAAAAAAGAAAAAGAAAAAGGGATGCTCCATTTGTTGGGTTTAGACCTCGGATTCCACAGCCATTAGAAGCTTTTGAATATTGACATTTATGTTCCAATAAAATTAAAAAAATTCTAACTGGACATGGACTGATAGACAACTCATTTATTTTTTTATTTTTTTATTTTTTTTGAGTCAACTAGAGAGTGAAAATACAAGAAATCAAATAAGAGAAGAAAATTAATGGGGAAAATGGAATATAAGGAGTATTTTTTTGAATTCCAAATCTAAAAATGCCACGTAAATGAAATAAATGTAACAGTTGGAAGTTGGTTTCCTAACTCACAAATAAATAGTAGTACTTTTAAAGCCCAAAACCTTGTCACATTTCCACCTACAATATGGGGCAAATTATATTCCATTAATGCACAATACTTTATCAGGTATCTAACCTGTGTTGAGTTCAAAAATATAGTGAATGGTCAATTTTTTTTTTTTTTTTTGGTTGGCATTAGGAACTTTCTTAGGTAAGGTCCCTTCGGGTCTCACCTTAGGTTACAAATTTAGGAATTCTGTGGACAGTCTCACACTTCAGTGTCAATTTCAGTCGGGGAATATAATGAGAATGGATGGATTCGAACCTGGAACATATGGTATCCCAAGCCGTTGCCTTACCAACTCTACCAAGTCCTTGAAGACATAACGAATGGTCTTGTCAATACACAATTGTACAACTTTTTAGGAATTTCAATTGGGCCAAGTTATAAATTGTATAATTATGAATTATTGCACGTTTTGTTTGGAGTAACGCTAAGCTGGTCGACTTTAATAGCAGTATGTTGTGATTTGTGAATGAAGGGATAAAATTATTAATAACTCCATCACTTCCATGTATTCAAATAGATTCAGATCTGATTTTATTGACATTATTTATAAACTAATAACTTTATATAAATCATAGAAACACGTGAAGCGATTAAATTAAATTATATTTTAATCAAATGCTAGCAAATTACCAATCGTAATTGATTCCGTCAACATAGGTCCTAGGATGAAAAAATTCATGTTTTAATTAATTAAATAGATCAATATTTTACTGTTACTTACATCGGTTAAGTCCTGAATTATAATTTGAATCTTAAATGTATTCCGTACACGTTATTTGTGAAATGTTGCGCGTGTGATGAGGTAATTAGTAGCCTCACCTCATAAATATAAATATACATATATCACTGTTACATTAAGTAATTACTCCAGAGTTTAACAAGAAAAAAGATAAAAAAACAAAAGGAAGTGCAAAGAGTGAGAAGGTATCTATTTCATATATATTTGCAGAACAGTCGGCTTAGGACGGCGGCACACCCCGTGGTGCCAGTGTGCCACCCGGTCCAGAAAAAAAAAAAAAAAAAGGGTACAATTTCTAACTGCAGACTCCAAAAATAAATAAATAAATAAAATGTTTGGTTGACTTGAGTTTTATTTTTTATTTTTAGCATGGTTGACTGGAGTTCAGTACACTTAAAAAACTCTTATATGAGTTATATGTTTATGTGTACACTTATACATAAATATGTATATATAGCAACTTGCATGTATGTTGATATAAAATTCTATACTCTCCTCTATTATCTATATGAATGTTTATACTGGTGTTTTTCTTGCACCAATTTTCTAACAATTGACCAAATTAAAAGTATAAATGATTTTCTTTTTTTGTGAAACTATTTTTTGATATAAAACATTGTACCATCAAAACAAATGGAACTTTGATAGACATAGACTAATTGAAGGGATAAATAACTAAAACAAAATCAGACCACATTATATAGTGCATGATTTAATTGACTTGTTCAGTACACAGCTTACTATACGCATATATACTTGCATGTGTATGCTTGAATATGTGTGTCTGGTGGGTTCAGGGATTGGAAATACAGAAATCTGGAGGATGGATGACTAATAAATATATATTGAAAAATTATATTTCTTTAATTTAATCTTCAAAATAATATCCGAGTCACTCCAATATTTTATTACAATAATATATACCATATAACTGATAATGTCAATGGAGTACCAAAGAAAATTGTTTTTGTAAGTGCAAAAATCACCCATGTTTGTCTAAATTTTAAATATAGACAAATAAAAAAGTAATACAGATCAAAAATAATTTTTTAGGGGAAATTTATTAGGAAGTGGAATTAGAGCAGGTTCTAAATCCGAGTTAATGAAAAATATATATATATATGTAGTAGAAATTACTTTGACAAATAAATATTTTAAGACATCAAAAAATAAAATTAAAATATTTTACATCCAAATAACCTGGTGGGTCTTAACTAATAAGAGTAGTGTAGAATTTAGGAGCAAGAGTAGCACTTATGAAGGTGTGTTGAATTTTGTTCTCACACTCTTCAATCAATTTCTTCACTACTAGGCCCAAAATAAGCAGGGTAAAGCATATTGGGTTTAGGGTATTTGACTTATATTCAGTCCATTGAAATGGAGTGATGAATGGGCTCATTGTATTTGTATCCAGCATCACATGACTACAAAGACTGGGCCAGGAACTGGTCTTCTTTTGTGAAGCTGGGACAGTTCCACTAGGACGCTTTATATGGTCGATCTATCAGAGTCGTATGTTTAGTCACTGGACGCAGTACCACCACAGTTTTTGTGCTACCTGCTTGTAAATGATCCATGAAGGGCCCAACTATTGCAGTGCCAAGTTTGACCACAATAATGAAAAATAAAACGCCGTTTGACATACGCTTTATTTTAAGCGTTTTGTTTTTTTTACTAAAATATAAATAATGTTTTGAAAAAAATATCAGAAATACATTTGTAAACGATATTTTGTTGTAAAAATGTCGAAAACAAAAACATGAACAGTTATGATTTTGGTCCATGAATAGTTGTGAAAATAAGAAAAAATAATCTTTTTGTATTTTGATTTTGGGTCATTATTTACGAAGTATTTTAACATTGTGTAAAATAAAATAAGGCCGTACCAAACATGCTTTTGTAGCCAAAATCGACATTGTAGCAGTTTAAAAACAAAAATAAACAAAACGCTTGCTAAACAGGGCCAAAATCCTCAACCCTAATCTAGTCTCAACTCCAAACTAAATCTCAAATTATTGGTCTGAGTAATCATTAATTGACACATTGACTTTCCTGTCATTTCATGATTGATTGGAATCATATAATAATTTTTTCAATCAAAGTATTTTTGGAGTTTCGATTCAACTCGAGTATTAGGGTAGCGTTTGTAAGGTAACACTTGAGTTGGTCGTATTGGGATCATGTCGGTCAATTAATCTCAAGCCATGGGCATCGGGTAGTTGTTTTAGGCAATGGTTTGTAAACTTGAATTGATCGAATTAGACTCGATTAACTCTAGTTAGGCTTGGGATTATACGAGTTGCCAAACACACCCACCTTGTTTTAATTAATTATAAGAAAAACGATTGCAACTAAGGTAGGCACAAAGTTAATTTAACATCCTAAATCGATTAAACAATTAATCAATCACAAACTTCCAACTAGGTTTAATATACTCTAAAGCAAGGCACTACTCATACGGGTCACACCCTTCAAGAGAATCTTAATATTTTATTTAAGGTAGGTAAAAGTGGATTTTAATGTTGTAAATTTAATAACCAATTGTCGTAAGCTTATTATATCAGTAAATTAAAAGTTCAACTAAGTTTTATCTGAAGCAGGCACAAACCATGCCCTTCAAGCCAATCTTGATCGTCTTTTATTATTATTTTATTAGAAAATGTAAACAATAGTATTATTTAAGCATTGAGATTTGAGAAACGCCCATTATGAGGCCAAAAATTACCAAACAAATTGGTACAATTCCTTTATTGGTATCGTACTACTCCTGTAAGATAGTGTACTAATCACACGGATAGTGGAGAGCCGAACACGCACTGTCACTACTGCCTCACCCATTCTCAATATTCCAGCGACTCAATCTCACCGCCGGCGATGGGTGCACAAGGTGCATGGATTAAGGTTAGTTTTTTTTTTTTCTTTCTTGATTTCTTAGTTTAACTTTACATCGTGTTCATTTATTGTGTTCTGGTTTGAATTTATGATAGCTAGGGTTTAATCGCATTCAAATCTTTTCTCGCTCTTTTTGGTGACTTAATTTGCTTGAACCTTAGTGTACCATTTCAATAATTGTGCTAATAAAATTGTTCTTTACCTCTGTGAGCTCACTTGATCACCTATTAGATTGCTCAAGATGATCGTTCCGA